TTTTTTGATGGGCCATGTGGGGCCCCTGGTAGGGGGTCTCCAAAGTGCGACGTCCATTCCTTTTGCACCTCCGAAGTGACGAAGAAAACCTTCCGGTTCGACTCAAGTCAAGTCAGAGCGAACATGGTCGACGTCGGGGTGGGAAACCGGGGTCACCGTCACAAAAGGCCCTTTGGACCTCGCCAATGAGCTTGTTTTCCCTTTTCGCGGTGTTTGTTTTGTTGACATCTTCCACCACACCGGACTTCTCAGGTCACCACCTGCGGTTTTTGAAGTCGGCATTTCAGCCATGCACCATAACTCAGAGAGCTGGTTCTAGTCGGGTCCTGGTAGAAGGATGGTGAGTCGAACTAGAACCCCATGCAGTCCATGCATGTCTATGTGGCCAGCTATGGTTGTTTTAGGAGTCAATGTAGGTACACTCGCACAATGGTGAATTCATCTTACTATTCCAATTCCAATCCCATCCCAGACCATGCATGTATTGGCTATTCATAGTAGGTTCCAGACCTATTTTCCCATCTTTTGGAAGATGGATCGGCAGCAGCGGTGGCGCCTTGAACACACGTTGATTGGGCGAACACAAGCAGACACGACCATTCCCTAGCCCTAGGACTGCCATATCAAGAGAGGTCAAGTGACCTTCATTATAGGACCCTGCGAGGGTACCTATATACATAAAAGTCATGGATAGTCTATAGGGTTCTTCAACCTTTGTTGGTATTTGCCGAGAAAAGGCCTGGGGGTGGTTTCAAGCGCTTGGGCTTATGTTTTGTAAAAACAAGGCAAGCCCCTGGCGGCCCTCGTTGAGTCTTCTCAGGGCGTGTCTTGAGTGATCTGAGGTACACCTGCGATGTGAATTGCAATTCCTCCGGGCGTTATGGGCCCAGCCGCCTCTTGTTGCTCCTCTTGGGCCTTTGGTGGACGCTTGGCCGGTAAACGGGGTGGGTGGGGTGGAGGCCGGTAGGCTTCCAAACAGGGCACCCAGACAGGATAGGTGTTTGGCTGTTTGGCCGCAGCGAACTGTACAGATCATCAGCTGCGATTCACTCCAACAGGAGGAGGGGCTAGGGTGGCTAGGGCGGTGCCGGGGGTCGGAGATTGTTGCAGGACTTGCCGGGAAAGTCATCAGGTCAAAAGAGCTCGCCGTCATCAATTCATCCAAAGTTTGTACAATACCCGGACCATCCATGTGTGAAATACATGTTATATATTACAATTACCTCATGTGTGACCTTGATGTAAGTAGTATTCCAGTCGCAGGAAGTGTGTGATTTGATTGAACCCTTTGTGAGGCACTGCTGAAACTTGGATGCACCGGACAGGACAATAGGATCCACTCCAACGGGAGGATACAAGGATACTTAGGGGACACTTTAAGTGGATAGTATGCAAGTCTGGATCCACTCTCCATGTATGGAATAGTTATATGCCTACATTGACTCCTCTTTCAACCACCCCAATGTTTCCAGGATCATCCTGTTTGGGTAGGACACCCACACAGGATGACCCAAGTAGGCGGGAAAATATGGCATAGACCTGGTTTTGCTGGTGTTCTTTTCTTTTGATCACTTTCCCTCTGCGTTCTGTCCCCTTCTGGGAAAGATTCTTCCTGGACCCGACCATCGTTCGTACCTTCGAAAAATGGGACATGACCCGAACAAAAAACAGGTACGACTGTACCTTGAGTCTCCAAAGACCCTTTTTTCCCGTCTTTCAAACACCTCTTTCAACTTGGAAAGGCACATTTGCTGAATTTGAGCTGCACACTTTGGATACAGTGTGGCACCATGTACTTCCAGGTATATCGAAAGGGTCATTGGAGACATCCGCGGTACCCCTTGTCTGACGTACTCGCCCATCGGGGTCGACTCCTTCGCTCCGCTCGTTGGCGCGCCCTTGTCGATCGACCTTTACGGAGCGAATGAGTGTTGGGCGACCTGATCCGATGAGTAGATGAGTCTCAACAGGAACGATCTATCTACGCGTTTAAAAGAACACATCAGGAGAATGAATCAGAAGCGAAGTAGATGAGTCTCCAAAAGACCTCACGTTCGATGAATGAAGGTGGGGGCCCAGGTGGAGGTGAGGCGCCCCAAGATATTCCTCCCTGATCAAGAAACCATGTCCTGGCGCCTTCCTCCACCTTCATCCTCACTCTGGATCCGATGCGATCCTCAGGATCCAGACGCTTCCGATGCCCACTCTTCCCTCACTGCCTGGACGTCGAGTGGCGCTCATGGGCACCTTCTTTGTGGGCCTCGCCACGATGCTGCAGGGCTGCTGTACAGTGGCCCAGCTAGAGCGCAGTGGTCGGCGGTCGGGCACCGGGCAGATGGACTTGGATCGGTACGCGTCGTAGCTGACATGTGACGAATTCTCCGCAGGTGCGACGAATTCCCAGGTGCGAATCGATGAGACCCCACTCAATTTGGGGTGATATGAGTGAGATGTGACATGTGTACATGCATCTCGCAGGAGATATTTGGGAGAACTGAAGTCAAACTCAAAAAGATTCTCGTTGAAGCAGTGAAATTTGGAGGCACGCTTCGAATATGCAATCAAATAGTATTGCAATATAGGCTTTACAAGCGCTGTCTCACCAATGTGATCAATCGGGTCCTGAAGTCACAATGTTGAGCCAGCAGTCCAAAGGAGATCTTGAGATTCTGAGAAGGAGTTGCCAGGAGTCATCGGCAGTTGGGTTCCTTGTGCTTATGCTGTTCTGGATCAACAACATGCTACATATTACCAACCCTAGGCTTCCAGGCCCCCCATTGATTTTAAAGAATCCTCTATACGTTTCTATACATTGTTTTACGGAGCAACCAGAGTTCGCATAAGGATTTTAAACTACAACACCAGGGTCAACCGAACTCTTCTAATGATCTTGGAAGGGCTCTCGGGTGACTGTTGATCAAAAGCTCCTCCCATTTGGGGATGTGTTCTTGTGCGACCCAGACGCTCCGACCCACCCGAAGGTAGACCCCAAGCTAAACTTACGGAGAGTTTCTGGGTACGACAAAACATGGTCTCCAACCACATACATGGATCCACTGCCACCTTCTTAGAAGCTACGACTGGACCCTCCTGGCGCCTACATAACAGTGTCTCCGATCACCGTACCTCAGGTTCGGTATGCGGATCCATAAGGGAAACATCGTCTCAAAGAACAGTCTTTTTCACCAATCCCAGATACATGCAAACCCCATGCAAACGACCTATCCATGGGTTCGTTTACTATTCCAGTCCCATCAACATCATCAACGGGTCTGAAAATCCTCGCCCCGGTTTTGCATGCAAAATATCGAACATATGATTGGCATTGATTGGCTATGTCACTATAGTCAGGTCCCTGGTGCCTTCAGCAACTTAGAGAATCCGCATCTCAACGCACCCTCACCGCTCCGCACCGGTTCCTCTCGACTCAGCCACCCACGGCGCATTTGGAGTGGCGCCCAGATGGGGACACCTTCAACAAGAGGCTCAAGCCGGCTCGCGGCCGGGGCTGTGAGGGTGTGGATGTAGTTAGGGTTCATTTGGGGATATGGAAGAATCCCTGGTGATTCACCTGGCCCAGACACGACCTGTTTGAGACGACCTGTTGTTTCCGCCCCAGAAAGACCCCTGAAATCAACTCCAAGGTACTATATACATGGCAAATATGGCAGTCCCATGTCTAGGTCGTGTCTGGGTAGGGGAAGTCTGCCACTGCGGGACTCTCCTTGGAGGTTAAGGGCTATCCATCAAACACCGCCTTAGCAGGCCTGGTATAGGGCGCGCAGAGAGCTGTCTTTTCCATTCGATCCCCGCTTTCGGACTTCCACAATCCCGCCTACACGCTGCCTTCCGTTTGCCGCACCCGGTCGACCGGCTTCTTTCGGCCCAACGGAACCGCGGACCGCGCGGACCGCGCGTCGCGTCACGTCCTCACGGGCCGAAGTGACGTGACGACGTCTCGTCGACGCCAAATCCCCGAACGGCACGGCCACATCTCCGATTCGGTTCGGGCACAGACCCCCCAAATCATCCACCCCCAAGCATCTTCTCAACGCAGGTGGGCGCCCAAGTTCCGGGGAAGTAGCATGCGGGCGGTGGGTGGCACCCCGTGGTCCTCCATGAAACCCGTGGCGTGGTGATACCTTTGTGCAGGACGCATCGGGTGGTGGATGGGATTTGGCGCGGAAATCCCTCGTGGGTGTGGTGGCCGGACTTGGAATCCGAGGACTACGAATGTGTCTCTCGGACCGGGTCGAGAGAGGACGGACGGAAGCGGCGGAAGCGGCAGACGGGCGGACGGGCGGAGTGCGGAGAGAGAGAGAGAGAGAGTGGGGGAAGACACGCCCGGATCTTGGTGGAGAGACGTGACGAGACTTTTCTTTTGAAAACGTGGCGGGTCTGGGGGGGAGAAGAAGCATCTGGACTGGGAGATCATTGACTTTTAAGCAGTTTTGCACTAGTCAATGGAGAAGGAAAGAGAGGAGGCAGAGGAGGCTCGTACTACACTCCTTGAAATAGTTATGGTTATGTGGATGGCAGTTCGCCCCGATTTCGATGAGCATGAAATCCCAAGTGGTTTTCAGTCCACTGACCCATGCATGATTGTGGTTTGCATTGTTCTGCATTTGGCTTTCTCATGGGGGCGGCTCATGGGGAACTGGTATGAGTTCTGGGATTGCACTGACTTCTGCGGCTGGGTGTACCTGATAACAAGTCGAACTAAGTGAGTGCAGACGGGACCTGCTCACCGAAGGAGAATGGAGGGGAACCTTCACTGACCGGACGTCTGAGAAGCTTCACTTGCAGCAAATCAGAGGAACTAGGAACCAATTGGCGCCAAAATATAGTGCCTGGTAAATCATTGCATGTTGCCCAGATAAAGGGTTCTTTCAACTGATCTGAGGTTGGAGGCCATCGCTCTTAGCCCTAGACTTCCAACCACCATTACATTTATAGGTTTTACCGAACCACCTAAGGATTTTACACTACAGAAACCCGGTCAACCCTATTTTTAATGGTCTTGGAAGTCTAGGGTTAGGGTTCTTTGTGTTGTTTCGACTGATCCGAGGTGCAAGTAAGCTTCTCTCCTACGCTACCCAAGATAGAGAATGCCCCACGATTTTGCAATGCTGTGTTCATCACAGGCGGTGCCTGATGGTCTCTCCAATCAGTGGCTTGACGCTTCAAGCTTAGCTACACTTGAAGCAGGTTAGCCACCCGAGGTACCATCCGAAGTGGGGAATCAAAGGAAACAGCACGTGGTACCACATGCAGTTGTTTGTTCTAAATAGATTTTGGACGGTTTGGCTCAAGCTTCAGCAATTTTTTGTAGGGTTTTGTTCATTTTTTGGGTGCTCCACGGCATAATGTCATGGGGTCTGGCTCAGATGCCTCATCCAGAGGCCCTGAACTTTTTGGACCCTGCGGGCACTGCAACGAGCAGCGCTTTTTCTTCCGCAGGGTGTGGCATGTTGGGCACTCGTCCTTCAGGGCTATCTCGTCCATCTCATCCAGGTGGCAACCAACTTCAAGGCTTAGACTTGAAGCAGCTCAATGGTCATCAGTTGTTGCTCTACCTCCAATGGCAACGAAAGGCTTTAGAACTGCAACTCCTGCGTCAGCGCAAAGAGCAGATCGAAGAGCTCCTGGCTCACCTCGCCCATGGTGCTGATTACCGACCTGTTGAAAGGCTCGAAGAGAAGCAGATGGAGATGCTGGAAGAGCCTGAGGGGAAGAGCCTGTCCAATGAGCCCACTGCTTCTTCGCTCGATCCTGTGGACTCTCCTGGTGCGGGTCCTGAAGAACCACCCTCCAAGGTCCGAATGACCAACAAGATTCCGAAAGCGCTGCGGGCAGTGACGCCAGAGTACCGGCCATTTCAAGGTAAGTGTGAGGGAGCTTCAGTTGAACCTCCGTTGACCTACCAGTGAGACGATGGTCGCACATATTGGGTGCGTATTCTAATATAGGGAGACCCGCAGGTCGCCCAGTCTATTTGATCCGAACCGAACCCAGCTTGGTCGGTGTCCGCCGACCGGTCGGTCTCCCTATTTGAGCTACACACACCCCCCTTCCACATGTTCCATGCTCAAGGGAGCACCTTTGTCACCAATACGGACACTGAGAGTCAGAGAGGAAAAGATCGCTGCTGCAGGTGTTTGATGTACTTTTTCCACGCACCCCAGCATGCTTCCTGGGAGTGTAACTCAATTGGCAGAGCTTCCGAGGTTTATATAGTTCACAGGATAGTCTGGTTTTCTATGGTTTTCTCAGTTTGTTCCACATGCGAGGAGTCTGACAGGCAATTTCATTTTGCATGCAGGAACCTGGGGCCAGAGGAACATCAGATTTCAGAATCTTCCAAAAAGCTACAGTTAATCTTGATTTTGGTTCTTGAGAACAAGCACGAAAAACTCAGTCCTTAACTTCCATGGGTCCAATGTCCGACTGTTGGGATGTGGTCTTCTGATATCTTCTACGGTTGGCTTGCAACCGATTTCTGGACGATTTCTGCAGCATGAGGTAGCATTGTGTGTGATGATGTGCATTGATCTGTGCATGAATGTTCATATTGTGTGTTTGTTTTACGTGGCTCCACGACTATTCATGTTGCCCTTGCGCATGAGGGAGCTCGATCTACATAGCAGTTGAAAGAATAGCAGGCTCTCTCGATCTACGCCATATTTCTACAAACCCTAGGGCTCCAACCATATCCTCAGAAGGTGGTTAGACCCCCCAAACCCACCCCAACCACCTTCTCAGGTAATTGGAGCCCTAGGGAAATAGAGAGACACATGGACTGCGGAATGTACAGGGCAGGTCGGTGAGAGGTATCCCAGTCGGATTCTTTAGAACGATGCCTTAACCGGGCTGCCTTCCTGTTCGCCCCATCCCACCTTTTTTCACCATTTCTTGTCTGTGTGTTTTTTCTTTTGGAGACTGCAAATTCGTCCCAACCATCCCAGATATGGTTCTACACAGGGCATCTTGTTTGATGGATCCCTGGTGCAAGTGCGGTGAAAATGGATCAGTTTCCATGCTGCAACCCTTTTGTGCTTGACTGTTCTGAAGTGTGTCACTGATCTGAACAGGTTCAAAAGCATGTTTTCGATGATCACCCTTTCTAAATATAGTTTTTGAGGGAAGTGGCTTTCTCTGCAAGAGAACACCCATAGGTGAGTGGTGCTTTGTTCCGCTTGGAGTTTTGACCCGATATTCGTGCTCGGACGACACTTGGCACTCTCCTTTCCACACCTAGGTGACGATGCACTCATCGAACCACTTTTGCGCGGTTTGGACCAACCACGAATGGAACTGTGGCTGGACGTCGCACCGGGTGAGTCGGAGTCGGAGGATGTCGGAGGGCGGCGGCGAACGGATCGATGGAGTGATGTCCAAACCCCTTTGCAAGGGCATTACTGGTAGCTAGAAACTATACCTGGAGTCGACCCGGTCGTACCTCGGAAAATGGGCACAGTCGTACCTGGAGGGTCCAGGTAGCTATTTGCTACTATAGAAGTAATGGCCTCCAACCTAATGGCAATGGCCTCCACCTATAGTAGCTTCTTGTTAGAGTCGTACCAAACCTCAGGTTCGGTACGACTGGAGCCGAACAAAATGGCACCGTCTCATACAGTAACAGTGGAAACAACGCATCACTGTACCTCAGAGGGTGCCAGTGGATTTGTAGGGTGCCAGGGGTGACATCATGTCATGTCAGACATTGGAAGCAACAATGCCCTTGGCACCGCGTTCGAGCTGTTAGACATTGGGAGTTTTTCCTCAGGCACTGAGTTCTTTCCCTATACGCCCGCTATCTGGGGTCTATGCCGGTGTAATTTGTTCATCCCCATGGCAATGTATAATAATTCATGTATGGAGGGGTGTTAGGGGAAGTTAGGGGTTGATAAGTCGTGGTCTTAAGCACTGTTTCTTCCATATTTTTTAGGGTCGCCGCTTCTCGTTCTTTTGCTTGTCAGGTGGGGAACACGACTTCGGCGTGTGCAAATGCCATACCGTCGCCAGCTCGGGGAAGTACTGTGAAGCATGGAGCCTTGCCCTATACCTGGACCCTCCAGCTTGTACCTTAGAAAATGGGACATGACCCTATAAAAACAGGTACGACTGTACCCATTTTCTGAAGTACGAGTTCCGGGTCGACTTCAGGTACACACACGGACCACGACCCCGGCCCGGACCAATCGGGATGGCAGGGGTCGCCATGGCGATTTCGCAGGGCTCAGCTGGCAGGGGGACCCGACACCGAAACGCAGGGGCTCGGATTCTTCGAGTTTGATCGGGTCGCATCCGGAGACGGTCCAGGCCGTACGCGGTGGTCCAGGCCTAACTTCCAGTGGTTGTTCGGGGTGGTATGACCAATCTTCGCCATAGCTGCCCTGGCCGGATTGGACCTCCATGCAGATTGGAAGGACCTCCATGGACCCTTCCGAGAGAGGTTTTTTGAGACCAGAACGTTCGGACCCGGTCTGTGGTACATATGGGCGACCAGACGCGCTTGAAAAGCCTCAAGCCGATTCAAGCCAGTTCTGTCAGGTCAACGATCCCCCGAAGGGTCGGCAAAGAGAATGACAGGCTTCGCATGAGTCCCGACCTGTGACGACTGGACCACGATGCCGCCGATCCACCCGTGGCCGTGGCGGGGTGTTTATCCAGGCAGGACGGAGAACACTGGGTGTAGGAGGAAAAGACGAATCCGACCGGCAGATGGGACAGGGTACGAGTTTGGACAAACATGGGACCCTAGGGATCCAAGTACCTTCTCAGAAGGTGATTGGAGGCACTGTTATGTAGGTTTGGAGGGTCCAAGTACCTTCTGAGAAGGTACTTGGATCCCTAGGGGGAGAAGTTTTCCAGGAGATCCAAGGCAGCTAAAGAACTGAAATAGACAGACACTGGCCATGAGATGCTTAAAAAAAGCCGATCAGTCCAGGGGTGGTGCCAGGGGGGTCAATGGGGCGGCATATATAGCATACATGGAGTGTCTGGGATAGACAGCACTGGCCATGAGATGCCATGAGCAACTGTGCTTCGTTCGGTTCGTTCGTTCGGTGCTTCCGGGTGGATCCGTGGATGCGTCGAGGAGTTGCTATACCCTCGAAGCAGACCAAGAGATTTGCGAGCTGAAACGCGACGACGACGGTGAGACTGTGAGTTGCTACTTGGTGCCAACAAAAACAGAGGGGTTCGAAGTTCGAAGCCCTCCTGATGTGAAGACGAACATCAAGTCCAGCAGCTCAGTAGAGCAGAAGATGCGGATGCTGCGAGCCTCGCAGACCAAAGACCCGGTGGGGGGCCCTCCCCAAAGGTACACTCTGACGAACACCATGGAAGTGGATGGCGTGGTCCAGAAGGGAAGACGATTTTCCTGTACAAACAAGGGGTGAACTCCACTTCCATGTGATGTGTTCGTCGGAGTGTATGTGATGGCTTTTGACAGGCGCCTATGTAAAAGAGGTTTGACATGTTGCACAGTTGGAAGACCTAGGTAGGGACCTGAACTCCACTTCAAGGACCTATGACCTACTAATGACTCCAGGTATGCTGGGCTGGTTTCAGCTTTCGCTCCCGGGAGAGCGAAGCAATCCAGCCACAGCTCATGACACATGCACTCGTCCCACCAGGGATGGGACGGTGGATAGGTCAAAGGAGCGCGACCGGTCCACCATATATCGAGCGAGCGAGCTTGAGCTCCCAGATACGAGCTTGACGCTCCATGGAATATGGCCACATTGACACCCCAAATGTATGGAATACATGGACCAACCAAAGGTAGGCAAACATGGGATACATGGAACGTTTGGGATAGGTCAACCAAGGTATCCTGGTGCCATGATCCACAGCCAAATGACATCAAATGACTTCCGTGATCTCGGATCATGCCAGTCGCAGACCATTCCCATAGGGCCCAGCTACCTCCTTTGGGGGTGATAAAACGGAGATGCGGGCGTCCGAAACCAGAGAATGGTCGAACTGGACATCCGATTCGGATGGTCCTTTGCTTTGATGTAGACTCTTCATTGCGAGGTATATGAGAGGTTCTACAATGTTATAACAATCCAAATACATGGTTTTATGCAAATTCTATGCATCACGAGTCTACATGAAATGGATCATGGTCGCTTCCATCATCACTTCCGGGATCGCCTCACGCGCTTGCCCAGCGCGCCGCTCTTTCGGGCTGGACCGACGGCGGAATCGGGTGATTTCGCACTCCGTGGCTGTTCCAGGTTGGTATAGTCCCTTCTACATGTTTCCTGGCAGCAAGTTTCGGTTCGCCCATTGATGGGTATACCCGGCGGGCTGGCACCGGGGGGTTTGCCAGGGGGGGGGTCAGGGATCTTCTCTTTCTTCGCACTTCGAAGAACGGTGTTTTGTGAAGATCCCAGGGCACAACTCGGCTGAGCCTTACTGTTCCTCCTCTCTGGGACCTCACCCCATCTGACGCTCCATGGGATTGGGATATATCCTACCTGCCCCTAGAAAATGGAACATGACTCACGACCCCATAGAACAAAAATCAAGGGTTTGTTTCTAGTGCCCATGTTTCGAGGTACGAACTGAGGGTATAACGGGTCGACTCCAGGTATGATAATATATCGATCCTTATAATGTAGGGATCCAAGTACCTTCTCAGAAGGTACTTGGACCCTCCAAACCTACATAACAGTGCCTCCAATCACCTTCTGAGAAGGTATTTGGATCCCTAGGTATACTAGATCCTCGCTTCAACCACCCTATTCCGCATCGAGTCGATTCGCTGCGAACACGTCCTGACTCGCAGGAACTGGGACAGTTACAACGAGCTCATGGAACGGCAAGCAGGCGGTGCCTTGACCACCGGCGAGAGCGCCTACCGCTGGTGCCCTGGCGAGGTGAGGGAGAGTCCGGGGAGTCTGCAGGTGAGGACGGAGAGGAGAAGAGCGTGAGAACGGCTTCCGGAAGCACCCAGATCGCTCCATTCACAGCCCGACCGGTCCCTCAGAAGATCTCCAAAACCATACCCAGGCCGATCAGTTGGGGTGATTTTGGGGGTCGATGGGGTGGCAGTCCTATGGCAGTCCCATGGAGTGTATGGGATATGGATTGGCTCGGGTCTGGACCCCTTGACAGTTCACTTTTTGGGCACTAAGATGGCGAGGTGTCAGGCGTTGAGGGCATGCGGACCTATAAAATCCGGCAAACGAATCCTCTCACCCTCACATGGTAGAGGAAATTCCTCCACAGCTTTGGGGCGAACTGTATCGTTTTGGGTTTGGGAACTGCTTCGAGCTTTCAGCCAAGCTTAGTATAACGGGCTGTTTTTTTCCGCTTCTGGTTTTCGAGACGAGGGCGTTTTAGGCGAAAGCGCCGCAGAGATGGGGCGCCAAGGACCTGACGGATCGAATCAATCGACCCGTCGTACCTCCAGCCACCCTTCGGTATGACTGGACCCGGTCCCATGGCATGGGGGGCCCCCCGTCGTCTCACCGACCACGAAACGAAACGAAGGTACGACTGGAGGCCCAAGGGCACCAAGGATCGGGTGTTGAACCAGAACCACCCTGCGAGAGGTTTTCACCTGATAGGATCCGTCACCGGTACCCAACTGGGATAGTCCCAAAAAAACAGCTGAGATCCACTGCCACCCGTACCTCAGAAGCTAGGCGCCAGGACCCGACTGGCTGGCGCCTACATAAATCGTCTCCCTGCTCACCGTACCGACCTGGTTCGGTATGTGGATCCATATAGGGATAGGTAGGGTCTGTCCTATTACCTGTAACAGCCAGTAAACAAGCAAATCACTATTCTTGGAAAAGGCCTTTACTAACCATCATCCGACCATATCCGACCCAATATATTATAGGGTCCTTCAAACTCTGTTGTCAACAGGTGGGGACAGGCAACCCAAGGACTTTTAAGGATGGCATTGTAGTCACACTTCAATTGGACTAACCGTAACCCCCCCCACCCTGCAATAGTCACACTGTAGTATGTATGTCCGATATTATGGGAGGTTTATGGATTAAGAGTCTACATCGATCTTGTCCAAGGTGGGGCTACGGTTCAGTCTGGAGCGCCGACATCGGACGGCGAATGCAGGAGGAAGCGCCCTGGGGTGGCCCCCATTCGCGCGCGCGCACGCGGTCGCGCACGCGCGTCGGCGTTCCTGCTGGTGGCGTGGGAGCACCAACTCTTGGAACCAAAAATGGCTTCGCGGGTCGATGAGGGACGTTTTCAGGGGACGATGTAGCCCAGACCATGTATATGAAATAGTCACCACCCTGCAAGATCGGTGGTTTTTGGGGACCCCACCAGACAGGTGGCTTCCAAACCTCACACGAAACAGCGAACTGGGTCCGGAAGGTCCAGGGTCGAATCCGCCTGATCTCAGAGGATCCCAGAGGCCTGGACCCGAACCAACTGCTACATGTTTGAGGTCCAAAACCCTAGTTGTGCGGGTTCAAACCCCGCTATGAGGGTCCTTTCTGAGCCTTTGGGTTCTTTGAACCTCGGGGGAAGTTGATAGAAGTCAGAAGCGAGCCACGGGGGAACTCGGAACTCGTGAATGTCTTAGAACGGCTGCACCCTTGGAACTCGAAGTCACACTAACGGCTGCATGCAAGCAAGCGGGGCCCCTTCTCGAAGATGGGAGTCGCAATCTTCATCACAGCAAACCTACGGCTTTCGCGGCCCTGCGCGGCTGCCGTTCTCATGGAGAATCCGATCGGTGCTTCAGATCGGCGCTTCAGATCGGGCTTCACGCCGCGATCGGTGAACATCACGGACAGACTGGTCCAAGAGAGGTTGAGAGACCAGAACTAGGACCCTGTATTGGTATCCATCTGGGATGGGCGACAAAGGGCTGTTCAACCTGTCTTGGGTTGTTCGGACCTGAACGCGCTACACACTTGGCTGGAAGATTGGGGCCAGGCCAGATCGAGGTCCCGTCACCGACCGGTTTCTCATCAACCTGTTCCTAGTCTCACTGGATCACAGCTGATGCCCGGTTTCAAACACATGCATGTTATGCTAGTAGCTTCTTGTTCCTAGAAGTAATGGTCTCCAACCTAATAGCGATGGCCTCCACCTACTAGTTGCATGTTGTGTCATTCGAACATGGAACTAGAGCGAATTGATCACCACCCTTCAGCAACATCCATTCGCAGGCCCCCAAACGAGTCAGGGGAACAGCAAAAGATGTTAGGAGAAAACATACAAAAACATCCTGCTGGCAGGTCCCAGAACTGGAATCAGCTGTGGGGACAATTCAAGACCGCTGTGATCCAGTGAGACCCGAGAAAAAAACATCCTGCTATACTAACTTGTAATTTTAAACTAATCGCCGAAGTCTTCCCTTTCTTCACCGACTCTAAGAAAAATGTCTTGGATGGTGATTGCTCTCTGTCAGACTATGTCCCTGTCGGATGGCTCATGCCTGGACCATCATACTGCCTGGCTCATGCCTGCCTGGCAGTTTAGCCATCCAGTGGGACTCATAAGACCAGATGGAAATTCCACTCCTCGATGGCAACTCCCCCTGCGCCCCTGGAACCAGCTCCCCAAGAATCATACAAGAATCCAAAACATTCCAAAACCATCAGAAAATCATTCAAATGGCTTATCAACACCCTATCCAAAAAATCATGTTGTCAAGCTCATTCAAGTTCCCAAAGGGCATCATAAACCCTCTAATATCCTCTAATTATTTATGATCACTCCTAGTTAATTTGGTCGCCTGTCAGTGAGAAAGGGATATATATTGTATCAATCCTTACCTCCTCCTTTCTTCCCTCTCCCGAATCCTTCGTCCCGTCCTTCCTGATTGAATGTTCTCCTCATGAAGAGAATTATATAGTCTTCATGTCAGGATCTCTCCTCATGAAAAGATTTTGTCGTTGGGATCCCTCATGATCAAAACCGTTTTCCACATGATTGGGTTTCCAGGCCATACATACGGACACTGATTGAATTTGATATATATATATATACCGTATATATATATATATTATACTGATCATGCTTGTTTCAATTCACCCGTGCCAATCGCTAAACATGTATCTCAGGAACCCTTGAAAGACAGGAATATCAACATGGATAGCACATGATGGCTATTTGGTGCAAAGGGGCGTACTTTGTGAGAGAGGGGCGTATCCACATGTGAAATATGGTCTGGCTCTCTTTTGGTAGCCCTCTGAGGGCACAGGTGTATGTCTTTGATGTTTTTCGACCGTTCGTCGGTTCAAGTCTGAATGCTCCGAGCCCTTCCTTGGATTCGCCGCTCTATCCTCCACCTCTTGACTGCCCAGAGTGACCCTGGGAGCTGGACCTTGCTTCACTGCTCATTGGACTGCACCTTGGACTTCTCTTAATTTGTGTGGCAGAGGTGCTCCTACCGTACCGGCTTTTCCTCTTGCGCCCGTGTTACAGCTGTATCGCACCGTCCCGAACCGCATCAAATCGATCCATCGACCAACTTCCCTCAGCACTGAGAGCTGGAGTGTCCCGTCGTTCGTTGGAGATGCAAGCAGTGATGTTGGGGTCTCGCAGTCGAACCAAGAAGCCAGAGTCGAATCTCTGCTAGTCCATGGAAGATGGACGTCCTCTCCAAATCCGAGGAGGGAAACAAATGGGCTCAGAAAGAAAGTGGGTCAGAGCTGCTTTCTATAGTTGACCCAGATAGTGGCCTCCTCACAAACGAAAAGACAATAAAAAAGAAGGCTCGCAGTTTGGAAGCGGAAAAAACCGTCTTGCCGCTGCGAGCAGAGCTCTTCACAAGGTCGAGAGGCATCCACGCGATAGTGAAGAAGCACATGTTAGAGACCTCGTGCGTGGGGTCGACAGTGACCCCTCTGATGCCTGTTCCGGCTCTTTGCCCTCGTGCTTGGATCGAGCACAGGTACGTAGAGGATCGCCAACTCAGCCTGGGGAGCAGCGGGTGCTCTCGATGCTCTTCTCCGACGCCAGCTAGTTTCCGAGGCTCGAGCTCGTGAATTCATGCAGTGGACATTGGAATTGGCACCTGGCAGCGGAACTGTCGCTAGAGCCGGCCTCCACCTCCTTTTGCCGTGCTGTCTCAACATGTGAGCCCGAACCCTTTCCACGGCGACTTGCCATACTCGAGACTTCTGGATCCACTTTGGGTAGAGATTGCATTCGGGCAATTGAAGGACATGGACGACTATACCTGCAGAGGCGGAAGAATCTCCAGAAGTCGCTTTTGTGGCAGAAGCGGGCGATCACGCTGCTGGATGGTTTGTGGGACTGCCCTATAAGCGTGTTCCGGCAGAGTTGAAGTACGTGCGGTGCCAAGCTTTCATTAAACAACGGACAGTAGTTCAAAGGCTTGAGTTCTTGCGTTTGGATCCCAAAACTCCCATGCACCGACATCGATGCTGAGCCGAGCGGGGGTCGAGGCGCTTCCAAAATTAAAGCCTTTGATCATGCAGGAGCTTTCAAGTCTTCATCGTGCCGGTGCATTTTTGACCAACAATGATTCAGCTTATTTCAGTGTTGGACCGGCGCAACGTGCCGACCTAGCGTTTGTTTGGAGTCGCACGAGCGGCCATTGGAGCGCCTTGGATCTTGACTTTAGAGTGGAACCGACGAAGCAGTAAAACTGCTCGACCCTGGAACCCATAGGTGCCGGATCACGAGCATAGGGACTTCGTTGAAAGGGAGAATGAAGACTAAGGTGCAAGAAGGCAACTCGCACACTGAGTTTGTTTCTGATACACCGACAATGGTTGTGGGCTGGAAACCCCGACACGTCATACTGGTGGAGGCAACGCAAGTTTCGGACATTTAGAGATCCCAGCAGTGATCATGTTTGCCGAATTTGTTTTTGCCATCTTGGAATTTGCTACACCTCTTCCTAGCCTATAGGAGGCCTAGTCGCATCAAAGAACTCTTCGATTGGCACTGCCAGGTGTGTTGGTTGGCGCGGAGCCCTCAGATTGCAGATCCCATGCAGGTGCTGCCAGATGCACTTCGGCTCGCATAGGGCAGGCCAAGAAACCAAGACCGAGAGACGTCCTAGGAGTCGCCACGGTTTTGATCTTGCAGATAATCATCTTCTATCAGGCACGGTGCACCTTGGCCCTTGAAAGCAGAATTTCGCATATTTGTTGGCGCAAAACTTTCTTGCGCGAGTCTGAGCTTGAACTCTTTAGTACCCAACAGTTATGTTGGTCCTTGCCCTGGAAGCTGTTGGAAAGGTCAAGTTCGAAAATGAGCGGCCATCAGTAGTTTTATATTCCAGCATGCCGAAGACGGAACCCGAACGCTAGTGGCCAAATGGGAGTTTACACGGACCCCGATTCCAGCTAGAACCTTCGTTTGTACCGATTCGCTGGAGTTCTGCTTATGGCTTTCTATGGAGCTGGGCGAGTTGGTGAGATTCTCGCCCGAGCTGACTTGCATGGTGTTCCCCGATGACGTTTTGGATCTAAGATAGCATCCTCATTGGGCTTGGACAGAATCAAGAGTCCAGGCAGTCTATAGGCCAACCGGCTAGACGACAGCGCATGAAGATTGAGAGCAAAGAGGCTGTAGTTGGAGTTGGAGTCTACAAATACAAACACACATCAGATGATGCCCCTCGATATCCTGAATCGCCAAGCGAATTCAGGCGAAGGTGGGATAGACTCATGCAGCTTCTTGTGATGTTCCAACGGCAGCCAAATTAAAATAACACGGAGGGCCTTCGTCGAGGAGCTGCTTTTTGAGTGTGCAAAGCACCACGAAAGTTTTCGACCATAGATTTGGCGACTTCCCCTGAGATCGATTGCCACGCTGGAGTCATATCTCCAAGAAACCGCTGGCATTTCCGTTTTGCATGACCTTCCTTTAAAGTTCAGTTTCCTGCGCTTTCACGAACAACACGGCTTCGATCTTTAAGAAGATGGCAGTATGCTTTGCTGGTCCATCACAGAGCAGTGCCTGTCGCACCTGACTCGCTCCTCCCCACAATGGATTGGCCTTGCTCTCCTTCTTGCTTGTTGGAGAGTCGCGACGGTCAACTCGACATTTCTTGCATGGGCTGAGGAAAATACACTGGATGAGAAAAGAGACAATTAACATCTCTTTGTTGTTCGACCGTTCGCCGGTTCAAGTCTGCCCGCCACCCACACCCGGCGGCAGGGTGCCGGCTCCACCTCGGAACGACGGGCTTGAACGGTGGATTGGCAATTGATTGCTGTCTTTTTCGTATTTTGGAGATAATGACGGTAGGCTCGTCGTTTCTTGCGTGGGCTGAGGAAAAGCGAGCTGCGCATGGAACACCGGATCAGAACTGAAGCAAACATATGTGATATTGCTGTTGACTTTGGGCGGCCGAGCCTGCTCCTGCTGGCCGTGCCGACTTGATCTCAAACCGACGTGAGGACATGACCCGATCTCAAAAACAAGTACTGTAATTTAATGTGTAAACCATGTATGTATGTATGTATGTATGTATGTATGTATGTATATATTTATATATATATATACAAAGAATATATACAACTTATGTACATGAGTGAGGGGTTTGGCCTTTGAAACCCTTTCTCCATGGAATTCTTTTTGACCACTGGTCAAGGTGTGTAGTGCAATACATGGACATGGGCAGCCCACGCATTCTCATCGGCAACATACGCGTGCTCCATCGGGTTCTCCTTATCTAGACACATCGACGACGATTGAGTTTGCAAGCTTGGCGCAACTGTGAGCGTGGCAAAGCAGGCAACCGAAGTGTTACACAGGTGTTGCTAGCCTTTTTCGGATGGAAACAGGACTGGTGACTGACTGCTGGACAAGCTGGGACGGAACTATGCGGTGCCCCAGCATGACACCTATGACCTTGCGCAGGAAAAAGACGAAGAGCCGGCCCTGATCAGCGAGTACATCGTCGCTTGGGTGGTAACAACCGTATCGTCGGACAAGTCGAGATGCGAGAATGACAAGAAGTGCAGCCGCACAGACTTTGCACCAAACCCACGCCGTGAAACACAGCGCTTTCCCTCATGCGAAGTTCCAAAGTCATCGCTTCACGGTGAAATTGCCTCAAGTTTCAAGTTTTTTGGCCGCTGTTGACTTCGTCACCGTCTGCTGTACAGCTAAGGACTACTTAGGCAAGTGGAACCAGACCGCACTGCAGCACGAACTGCAGAAGGCTGGCATGAATGGCACGGAAGCGGAAGTCAAAAGACGCTTGCAGACCGGCACCATTGACTGGCCGCCTTTGCACCCTGGCCATCCTTGCGGATTGTGTTCCCCAACTGGATTCCAACAAGTGGAAGGTTAGCCTCTATTTTCCAGGGAAACGGTTCGGGACTCAGTCTCCTTCAGAACCCCAGCAGTGGGACTCATTCGTGATGCCCAGTAGCAAGGTTCCCCACAACTACCATGAAATGTTGATGGTTCATGATTCATGATGGTTCTAGATGCCCTCAGTAAAGTCTGGATGTCATCCTGGTGCCAAGTGATAAAACATCCGGACAGGTGAAATAGACTTATTTGGGCACCAGATTTGCGAGGTCAATCCAGGTGAGATGAGGAAATACCCGACCAGTCAAACGGTCAAACGCAGATATGAAATGGTCACCCAAAAACCTCCACGCGAAATCTTCGAAGTCTTCACATTTCAACACGACCGAAGTTGTGAGTGAGAAGGCTGCACGGGTTCGTCGACTACGCGAGACACGACTAGCTGCATGGGAAGGAGAGAGTTGCAGTGGTTCCGTCGCAGGCCAATTCGAATTCCAGAGTTGGGGAACGACCGTCTCCCCATGGATCCACATACTGCCACCGTACCTCAGGTTCGGTACGACTGGGCCCGACAATGGCGCCTACTGTAAATCGTCTGCAATCACCGTACCTGACAACGTACTTGGATCCCTAGGGCTGGTGTGGTAGTCTCAAACCCTGAGTAAACAATGGTTGTTTGAGAGAAAGATCGATTCAGTCAGCTGGCGCCGGCGCGAATGTTCGGGGCCATGCTCAGGTATGCCTACAACCCGGCTGCGCGACATTTGCATTTCTGGTGGAACGACGTGTGCATCGTCAACGGCCTCCTGGGCTGCAAGTTGCGAGGTCCGGAGGAGTGGGGGTCGCAGGAGCGGTCGCAGCAAAGATCCCGCAGTGAAAACCTACTCGTATCTATTTGGGGGTCATTATCATGATACTAAAATTGGGAGTTTTTTGGTTAGCCCAGCTGCTCTTCATTGCTCTTCAGCGGGTGGGATAGTTTCCCGTATACGCATGAAGGATTCTTCATGGTACATGACTTGGGTTTGTCCCAGGTACAGCCGTCAGTAAAGAATATGCCCAATGTAGAGCGTTGATTCATAAAATCTACCCCAGACATGGATTGTAAAACCTTTTCACATCAAAGGTTTTGTTGATCAAAATTCTACATTTAGCTAACTGGTTGCTTTCTTCTTTCCCAGTCGACTGTTTGGTTCAGTGGAGTCAACCAGCAGAAACTCCATCCAGCATGGCAAGCTGCCCTTTGGCTCTCCATGGCTCCAATAATCTCCATATATCCAAGAAGATCTCAACAATGTGGACATCGCATGAGTTTGCTTGACTGCTCCCATTTCTGCGTCCGGGAGAATGAGCAATAGTGAACACCACTTAATTTGCTGCATATCTTAAATGACTGCTGCTGAATTCGTTATCTCGTTCACTCATCGCACCTGTCAGCGCCATACCACATCATCCATTTTTGTTTCTTCGCCGTGGATCGGTTTTGATGATTGAAGCCTGGCCTCTTCTATCCGCCCTTGTGGCAGACCTGCCACAAGAACTGAAAGTATAAATAAAGCCATTATGGGTTTTCATCCTTTGGCATGTGGAATATATCTATATAACTTCTTCCCGGCTTCTGAATCAGCTCCATCCAAGCCAACCATTGGACTGGCTTTTCCACTCCGCTTTTCCGATCGCTTTGGAGGGTCCATCTGTCCCGGCCTTCGCTTTTTCCGATGGGTTTCGGGTGCCTAGTTCGACTATCCCATAGGTACCCCAGGTGACGGGTCCTAGTTCAGGTCTCTCAACCTCTCTTGCTGATGGATTGAACCCGCGGGACCCGCAGGACCGGGGACTCCACCCCCCCGCGGGTCACGCGGAGCGGGTCAGCGCGTGGCTGGTGGATCAACATGTCCCACGACACATGAGACTGGCATGTCGGACTGCCCCATTGACCCCCGTGGCACCACCACCCCAACTGATCGGCATATATATATATAATCCTCCTTCGAATTTAGCCTAAAAAATAGACCAACCCAGGATGTCATAAAGAACGCGACCCAGACGAACAACCACCCTGATTTGCTTCAACTGGAACATGGGTGTTTGCACTTTGAAATGTCAGGGGGTCAGTGTCTGATTCTTTAGTGAAGCGCTTTGGACTGGCCAATGCAGGCGATTCGAGAGGCAGCTCCTGTTCACATTTCTTCAATAGGTCTCAATAGCAGATATTCTGTGCTCCACTGGGCTGTGTTCGCTGCTGTTCGCCAAAAGAAATATACTACAAAATAACTACACACATATAATGTACTTGGAAGACTTGAAGGTTTTCTGAGATATCATCTAAAAGACTTGCCATCTTTCTCTGCAAACATGAGAGCATCTGCAACACCCAAGTAGAAAGCATCTGCTCCAACAAGCTCTGCGTACTCTCCAATCTTTCTCTCCGCAAAGTCATTTGGACATCCTCCTGGTTGGCCAGCCGGGCTTTCCCAAAAATTGAAACCCATCCAAAAGTAGAGGTGGTAGGCACTAAAGAATTGTCTGGGCCTATACTTTCAAAGAACTCAATGAGTTGGATCAATTTTTTAGGGTACCAAAGGCCTTCAGTAAAGGGTCCACAGCCGCTCGACCTCTAAAGAATCAGAAACTTAACCTAGAACACGCCCCAGATTCCTGGAAGAACCTAAAAAACAATTGAAAACAATTGAACACGTATTTCATCATGTTTCAACATCTTTCTATGATTTTCTATATGGTTACGTATGGCCTCTAGTTCCCTTCCTTTGTGAGCCGCTGTTTTCCAGTAGAATAGGTATACTCAACTCTTTAGGGACTCTATGTTATATTAACCTACATCAAACCATGACAAAAAACACAAAACAGCCTCCAAAGAATCAGAAAAAAACAACAAAGCACCTGTATATATCGACGTTCCCTGATTGTTTAGGTTCTTGTTATTTCGTATATATATATATATTTTTGTTTTTCACTATTATTGTCTATTGATCCCCCTGTCCATTCTGCAGGGGGGGTCCTGAGAGTCATTTTATAGATATGAAATTAATGGTGGTCCCAACCCACTGCATAGCCTAAATTGAAAAGCCTGAGGTTTAGGGTTGCTTGAGGGAAGTTGCTTGGGGACCATGGCAAGTCTTTGTGCCTGCCGAACCAGTGTGGTAGATTTGGAAGAAGGAGCGACAGTTTCTGATAGTTCGACTCGAACATGGAATGTCACATTCTTTAGGTTGATGATGGCGTTTTCATTTTTAGGTTGAGGAGGTCTGATTCTTTAGTGCTTGTACTTCTAAACTCATTGTTTAGAGGTTTTTTTCTGATGGATGCTGATTCTTTAGAGAGTAACAGGTTGGCAGAGAGTGGGATCCCTAAAGGATAAAGACGTCCATGTGAAAGGTCGAATTCGCACAGGGATTATATATACATGGAGCGTCTGGGTTTGGGTCATTGATGATCCTAAACATGATTCCCTACGGATCCACTGCCACCGTACCTCAGAAGCTAGGCGCCAGGACCCTCCAAGCCCTCCTACATCAATAGTCTCCCTGCTCACCGTACCTGAGGTTCGGTATGTGGATCCTGCACTATAGACTATAGAATCTGTAGACAAGACATTACAGAAATTCCCTGAAAATCCACGTCGTCCCTTCTCAGTTCGGTTCGGTACGACTGGACCCGACCTTCTGGAAGGTGGGTATGTGGCTCCCTAGGGATCCAGTCGTACCGAACCTCAGAAGGTACGACTGGACCCGACACTGGCACCTACATAACAGTGCCTCCAATCACCGTACCTGAGAAGGTACGACTGGATCCCTAGGGATCATATACTTGCCATGTCCCTTGTGCCTTGACTTGACCTGCGTTTCACCTCCGGGTGAACTTTTGTGGTGGCGATCTTTTGTTTGGCCTCAGGTCTAACCATCCCTTCTGGGGTACCTGTGGAATAGATCTGACCGGATGGGACACCCCGGCAAAAAGAAACACTGTCCTCCATGTATGATCCAATCCAATTTGACTTAAAACGTGTCAAAACCCAGTCCAAAGCACAGTAGCCCTATGGATCCACTGCCACCGTACCTCAGAAGGTACGACTGGACCCTCCTGGCGCCTGCATAAATGGTCTCCCTGCTCACCGTACCTCAGGTTCGGTATGTGGATCCATAGGGTAGGTTGACTTGTGAAATCATCAATTTTTCAACTGAAGCTCCGTTGGAGCTCACCTGTGACGCCCCTGCATGGTCGCCCCCGATCCGACCCGATCCGTGCGCATTTGCGCCGTGCTACGACGTCCGACGGGGCGGTGTCCTGGACCGCCAATCCCACCGACTCCAGGATGCTGTCCCGGACTGGCGGGTCAATCCTCTTCTGGACCGCAGGATATGGTGTTTCCCCACTCGTTCGTTGCCGGAGTCGACTGGGGTCGACTCCTTCCGAGTCGTGAAGATGCCACGTCCGTCCTATTCTCTACGAACCTGATCCGGTCGGGTTCAGGTCCCCTGCGCACCTGCGGACCAGGTGATAACTTGGTGGTGGCCAAGCGGACCTGTCCCCGCTGGCGTGAGCCCCTTGGGCGCTGAGGAGTTTCAGATCATCTCCATGGGACTGGAATTGTTATGACATGTGATGACCCCACGTGAGAAGGGTCTGTCCTATTACCATCAACAGTCGGTAAACAAGTGTATTACTACACAATCTATATAACCATCATCATCATCATCATCATCATCACCATCATCATCATCATCATCATCCGGTGGGATAGACCTAATGGACGGTTCCATCCGTCTGGGGGTTGTTCCATTCACGCGCGCGAACGGCCGAATCGCGCGATGGCGCGAGCGGCGCGACGGGAGGATTGGGGTGTTGCCTCATGGATCGGTTCGTGGAAGTCACGTGAGATATGCGAACGAAGAATGCAGCAAAACAAGAGGACTTGAGAAGAAGATGCACTGGAGAAACGTCCGACCCAGTTCTTTCTATGACATGATCGCTGTATGTAGTATGTATTTGGGACAAGAGGTCGCTTCAATGAGGAGTCCTCTCTCAGGAGTCCCTCCCCAAAAAAGGGCGTTTGGAGGAGATGAGGCGGTTGGAACTGCAGTGACACATTGCGATTTTGCCAGAGTCATTCGTACATAAGAGCGTATATAGTAGTTGTACAGTCTCCCATTATGTACCATTCTTTTTGAGGTGGGCCAAGACAGGAATCAATTGTGCTCTATACAACAACGTAAGTAGGACAATCCGTTGCAAACAAGTAGATACTGGCTGAGACCATCTAACACCTGCGAGTTCCCTTGCTATTTTGTTTTTTTCGAGTCACAACTTGTCACAACCTTATGTTCAACTATGTAGGACAAACAGTGCCAACAGATTTCACGCTCACGATCAAGCACTCGACGCATCCCGTGTTTGCCCATGAGACACTACACACTGGGAGTACAAGCTGTTTTGATCTGTTTTGAACATCATTTTTCAGTGACTCGAAACTAGAAACTATCCCTATGGATCCACATACCTTCTGAGAAGGTGATTGGAGACTACTTATGTAGGCTTGGAGGGTCCAATTAGCTTCTGAGAAGGTATGTGGATCCATAGGGCCCTGGTACCCATCTTGCATTGTAGTCATCGACCCTGATTCAAACACATACCCAAGGATTGAGACGGAGATCCAGATGTGCCACTGCACGGCCGAGAACTACAACGGTGCCAGTTGCGAACGCTGGGCCTGCGAGGAGACGGGCGAGACTGGTGCAAAGACGCGGGGTCGCGACGATCTCGACGACGAGGCTTCGCATCAGACGTTTGCATGGCTGGCACGAATTGGGCTTCCTGGTCCAGCCATGTCGGAATTGGAACGCCCAAGACATGACCGATCTAGCCCTGGCTGTGCCCCGGCTTATCGTTTTAACGGTCAGAATAAAAGGCTGCAAAGCTTGAAGACAGATTCGTGCTGTTTGACGAGGCACTCAAAACACGAAATCGTGAAATATATGGCGCCAGGCACGTTTTCGTTGTTCCCTATGGATCCACATACCTTCTGAGAAGGTGATTGGAGACAATTTATGTAGGCTTGGAGGGTCCAATTAGCTTCTGAGAAGGTATGTGGATCCATAGGGTGTGGAGATTCTTGCATCATATATTCAGGGAGCCTTCGCAGATGTCAAAGCCACCGTCCTTTGCACCGGCTCACATGCAATCCCCTGGTAGAAGTCTTAAATGGGATCCATGCTGAACGCACCATTTTAACGGCTTTTCGCGAACGAACCCATGGATTTCGCAGCCCATTTGGTGACCAACCTCGTGGCGAACCTCGACCCTGCAGTTTTGGAGCAGATGATCGACCAAGAAGCCAGGGCTATGGTTGCAGTGGACGCCAGTACAGCTGGTTTCCTCGGCTCAATGGCTGGGTTGTGGATAGAACCTCAGCTTTCATTGGCTCGCCACCCGGGCATTCATAGGTGCATGGGCGCCATTGTCGCTGGCTGTCTCCAGTTTTCAGGGGGACATATCGTGCAAGCAAGGTATTTCAGCGTCGTGACTGGCATGTCATGGACGGAAGATCCATGGCAGAGAAGATCAACCCCTCGGCCTACAAGGCTTACAAGGCTTGAGAATAGCAGAATGGCATCGATCCCCGAGCTGCTCTCCAAATCATTCCAAAACAATCCAGACTGATATTCCAATCTCCATCAGGAGGCTTTACATCAGGTGCTTGAGTCGCGAAGGGTTTGGTCGTTCATGGAGTCACTGCAGTGGTTACTCCAATATTATTGCATCCCATTCGTCCCTGTGGGGTTACCAACGTTCGACCAACTGTGTACCTTCCGAGACCCTGCAAAATTCGATGCGTGGCTGTGTGGCTTGCCGCCAAGAGTGTAAGATCCGTACCCTGGCTAAATATGCTGTTGAACTCATGAAGGGAATGAAGGGGCATGAACAAAAATGTCTCACAGATGTCCCACAAACCATTCAAGTTCAAGCCTGGCTTTTGCGCTCCAGAGATTCAGCAGCCACTCTCCAATTGCAAGAAGCAGTCCCTCTAAGCTTTGGTCTTCCCACCACCTTTGGGGATGCCACGTTTGTTACTCTGACACAAGATCACTCAAGGATCACCTCTAAAATACTCACAGGACATATCCCCACCCAGGGTTTACTTCAGCAGAAACACCACGTCTACCACATTGATCAAATTTCAGCTGAGTTCGATCGTTTTTGGAGCAACTACTGGCACAGAGAATCATTTTGTGACCAGACAGAACCAACAGCATGGCAGGACACTCTCCAAGAAATACTTTCCGTAACACCGCCTGCCACCCCTCTCTCCATTCAGATTGGTGACCCCGCAGTCCTGTGGAAAGTCATATCTCGTATGAAGCCGTATAAAGCCGAAGGCGTAGATGGGTCGCGCTCGGAAGAATTGCAACTTTTGCCTTTTAATGCCATTGAAGATCTGGCCAAAATCCTTGCCACCATCTGCCCACATGGTTTGTCACAAAGGATATCTCCGAGAGTATCAGTGATGGTCGTCCCGTGACAATCGTGGGCTATATTTCCAGGAGGTGCTCCAAAATAGTAGCCGATCAGGTGTTAGCTGCATGGTCCAAACAATGGTCGTCATGCATTAGTGGCGGTTTGCAACTTAGATCTGTTCGAGATATCTCTATCCAACGGCAACATCTTCTCGAAAAGACCCATAACACAAACGAAAATCTCGGCGGATGGACTCTCGACCTAATTAAGGCATTCAATCTCCAGGTTTGTGATAGTCCGTATGATTGTTCATCTAGGAGTACCACTCGATGTGATCCAATTCTGGGCTCGATCACTGCAAAAGCTCACCAGAGTGGTCCGAGTGGTCCACATCGTGTCCAGGGAGAAGCACTCCGTCTTGTTGTTAAGCACATTGAGACCTTGATCGGCACTGCTTTTATCCCCAAATATAATCAATCTGGCTGCTCCTCACTGTCGTTGGGCTTCGCTCTCACACACAAATTTGGTCTTGCCTGACGTCCAGAGCTCCCACATGCAGATCATACCATGAAGGTCATACAGCGCCACCTTTACACCTGTGCCACTAATCCGCCGTTCCACTTGGATGTCCAGTTGCAAATCCCTCGTGTGCAACCTCTGTTTGATACACCGTTGTACCAAGACATCGCACAGGATCAAGTAGATCTCTTAAATCGTGATCGATCTCCGTTTTTGTGATGGCCGTGACGCTTACGGGGTCTTTGAGCCATGGCTGGATTAGATCGTCCACCAAATTCATTCCATAGGACTCGGTGTAGCCTCTCTCTTTTGGATCCTCTGTCCTGATCATGATCGGTGACATGCACGTTGTTAGTATCGTCCTACCTCTTCTTATCTCTGGAACCCCCCGCTACAACAGTGGAAGGGTCCGTAATGAATGCGTACACGCGTCCACAATCGAGAGACGGAACAACCATTACCAAGGACTCCTTTAGACGCAAAAAGCTAGCTCCCTAGGTCAACTTCTCTTTGAATGGTAGAACGGAAGGCCATGGCGGTCGGCGACGCCTTTTGACACGGCAAGACGGTGGGGACCATGTGGATTCTCTTTGGCCTATTCCACTCCAACAGTCAGTTGAACTCGCGAACGAAGCCGTGTGGGATCGGGTGTTCTTTTGAAATCTCTCTCTCTCTCTCTGTACGAACAATGAATTGACAAGAACGGTGGAACAGGGCGCCCGTTCTTCTTGTCCCTTGAAGAGGTCACGAAACCTACCCATACTTCAGCACTTCGTCTTCGTGTCCCTCCACTCCCAGAAGAGTACATGTTCATGGCCTGCTGAACTGAAAGACCATGACATCAATCGTTTCCAAATCGATACACAGAGAATCTAACCATCCCAGTATTTGCCCCTAAAGGTCCAACCACCTCACAAGGTAGGGACAGACCCCCCTGGCTTCCACCCCAAGCACCTTCGAAACGGAGGTAGGCCAGGAGACCTACGATTGAAAGCTGTTGCAGCAGGTCCTGGTGATATAGTCATGTTTGATCCCAGGGCTCGTCATTTACATGGCCTAACCTACGCCCAACTGGTTGGTTGATTAAGGATGCCCGGATACCCCTGGTCGTGTACAACCAATAGGATCCAATAGGTAAACGGTACCTGGCACCGACCCCTCTATTCTTCCCAAAAGGACATCACTGAATCGCCAGTATTTTTCTGCTGCGCCAGGATCGGGATGTGGGTCTCTTCAGCATTCTCTTCCGGACAAGGCAATCCATCGATCAGTACACCGAAGGCGTCGAGTTTGAGATCTACTCATGATCCTTGGACGGAGAATGAAGTCCAGCTCTGACAGAAAAGACGCTGCTGAGTCCCAACCATGTCAAACCCATGGGTTTCTTTTCCATCTATTCCACCTGGTTGGGCCCTTCCGGGGAGAAATCTAGTCCAACTAACTAGTAGATCTATAGGTAGATCTCAACCAATTCGCGCAAGACACAAGTCCAACTAGTGAAAAATTCAGGGAAGCCCAGAGGTCCAACTAGTTGGATCCTCCTCTTCTAAGATATCCAGCTTCCGGCTTCGCTGGGACCGTCTACCGTCTATGGGCGGGAGTGACCGTGGATCCGGACCACCGGAGGGACACCGGAGGGACGGAGACCGGAGGGGTTGTGAGTGGATTTCTGCTGCCCTAAGAATCAAGGACCCGAAAAAAGGTGAAGCTTTGGTTCGGGTCCAAGCCCTGCGTTCTGCAGGGTCATTGGACCCTCCAGAAGTGGTCGGGTCCAATGATTCTTAGGGTGAGAAAAACATGGAGGTCATGATCCGAACAGAACACTTTGAGAAGCTACCTGGACCTTCCGTTCGGGGTGTCCTGTCGGTCCCTGGCTGGGGTGGGCTGGGGCGAAACCAGCCAGGTGACCCCGAACGGAAGGTGCTGGTACATGTGTTTCTGAGGGACGCCAGCCCCCTTCCAAAAATATCGAGTGGAACGAGCCGAGGATACCTGGAGAATACAGTTCTGAATGTGAAGGTTTGGAGGTTACAGGCAGACTCTTGTATCCCTGGCAGTGCAGAGTCCACAGCACTTTTGTGTGCTGTGTATTGAAATAGGGAGACATTCCAATAGGTTCTTGATGTTCTTGTAACTGTATGTTTGGTCTTTCCCAGTGGTCTTTCCGGTGTCTTTGGTATTGTACAGTACTCATGTGTATACTGTAAGTTCTTTTATGTTACATGTTTGAATGAACCCGTTCGACTGAAGAGAAGTCTCAGAGATAAGCACACCGTCAGCATGTTCATCCGAAAGGAGTTGGTATGTTCATTGGAGTACAACTCTTTGTTTCGCCAACTCGTGAGACCACTTGCCTTTCAGCTGCTTGCAGCCTGAGAACAAACACCATGGTGCCATGACCGTCGTTGGTTGCGGCCGAACTGGCCGGTGACGAATGAGGCACTGGCTACAACATCGACGGACAATGCCAGCAATGGGAAGGTGACATTGAGTCCTTGGAAGAGGCCCGAAACTCTCCCGGGAAGAGGTCCGTGGATCCTGATCTGAAGAGGCTAATGCAGGTTTGTGAGTAGTTTGGCACACGGATGGCTCTGCCTGTCGTACACAAAATGAGCGAAGCCCCTGCCCCCTGCTGTCTCGCATGATCATTGTCTCGCATCCATGCAACTGTTGCTGTGCTGCTTCCTCACCCTTAAAATCCCTGGTCTCCAGACCAGTTTCTATCGTTGACTTCTTCAAAGAGATGTAGGTTGGAGATGGTTGGAGTATGATACGGACTTTGCCATGTCAAACGGTCTATCTTGTCCGTTGCATGTAACCCCCCAAGTCGGATCATGTTCAGTGCCGCAAATCCCATGGCCTACCCAGGCAGTGGACGACCTGCAGGTCACCTTTGGGGGACCACCATGGACCGCAGGTCACGGCCCACTGACACAGACACAGTGGAGGTGTCTTCCCTCGGTTCCCCCCGAACGCCGCACTGACTGGAAGTGGCATGTCCGTTTCCTCGGTTCCTCGGTTTTTCCCGATGGGTCTCATCGTCACCGGAGGACGCGTCCAGAAAGGATATCCACCCAGAGGAGCGAACGAATGAAGAGACTCCGCCCTGAGGAGGGAACGGTGGATTTAGGGGATTTAGGGGATAGAATGGGATAGATACATACTGACTCATACGCGTGCACCGGGAAACAAACCAAACACACTGACCCCTCCATCATTCCCGTTTGCCCAGACACCGGTGCACCGTGCATGTGTTGTCATGCGTAGGTCGAGTGGTCGAAGTGCTTCTGTCCACCGGCGGGCTGTCATCAGTCTGGTGCTGTTTGGTTCCCGGGCCGCAGTTAGCCGGGCGTGGCCGGGCCATCTCCGCTCCAGCACCGAAACCCACCAATCGGTACAAGGAGAACGAGGAGATGAGAAATGGATAGACATGGTGACTGATTTTTTTTGGTCTTTCATCTTGTGTGTCCTTCGCGCTTGCGTTTTCTTGCGTACGTTCGTGCGTGTGAGACCTAACGACGTTCCTGGGTCCCATATTCTTTGGATCCACTGCCACCTTCTCAGAAGGTACTTGGACCCTCAAAGCCTGCATAAATGGTCTCCAATCACCGTACCTCAGAAGGTATGTGGATCCATAGGGCATATTCTTTGCTGTTCTTGAATTCACCTGGTCAGTGCTGCGATTCACAGGCTGCAATCATTCACCTCAGCTGTAGATGTCGAAGGCTTTTGTTGAGGAACGAGATTCCCCCATAGGGAGATGTCAAGCTTTGTATAACCACCTGGTAGGTCATATGTTTGTTGTTCAATCGTCAACATCCACAACCTTCCAGTCCTAGCTGTTTTGGTCACGTCACTTTGGCGGTGGCAGGAGACTCCGAAGTCACGGACCTGTCAGCAGGATTTGAGGTCCTCCAGTTTTGACTGCAGACTCCTTCCTAACCCAGACACTCTATGTATGGTATATTTCAGGGGCCAGCACGCCCAAACTGCGGGCCAGCAGGGTGTTCAGTTGCCATATTGGAACAACCATGTGTTTTTGGTTATGTTGGTTCCCATGCAGGATGTATGGTATGTATAGGCCTACATTGACCCCTTTTGAGACACCCGAAATGTCGGCAAGTATGGCAGTCCCATTTGTCGTGTTCCGGGTAAGGGAAGGAAGTGGGGTGCTTCAAGACCCCAGAGCCACTTGTTTGGCATTGTCCCCAGTTTGGAAGACCATGAAATCCTAATACCATAGAGCGGGTGAATTCCACTTCCATGCTAGTTCCAGGGAGAGTATTGTGTGCTTGTATGTGCTTGTGTTTTTGGCTTCCAATGCCAGTCAGGCGACTGGAGTGCAGCGTTTTTCTGCGTGAAGACTGCGTGCTCGCGAAGACTGAGGCTGTGTGATGAATGGGAACTCCCAAAGATGCTTGGTCAAGAATGAGAGTCCAGGAACATGACGAAAATGAACATGAACTCTTCCAGCCTGAGGCCTGGCAGTGGTGGATTGATTATGACTCCCAGTTGAAATATAGACTATGAGCCAAAACGGAAGTGTTGAGTTACGTTCTTCAACCCTTTCAGACTACTGAGAATCTGACCCTTCTCGGGTCACTGGCTGACCCTCCGGCCAGCTGAAGTTGGATGGTTGTAATCCGCACCCGATGTACGAAACGCGGTCCTGACCGGGACAGGACACCATCCGCCACTTCGCTGGGTTGAACTGGCCCTCCAGCCAGTCCGTTCAGTTGCACTGGACCTCAGGACGCGAGATCTCTTCTTTGAGGCGCACATTGGAGGCGTGACTTCCGAACTCGAAGTCATTTCCATTCGGAACTTTGCAGGAGTTACAGAGTTACATGGATGCCAGGGTAGTGTGGCTTGTCCACAAGGGAGTATACAGTGTGTATATCTTTGGGGCACCCTGACATTCAACTGCTGATTCCTGATTGTTGTGTTTGAACGGTCTACACTCTGGCCGATTCCCCGTTCCAACTGCAGTGGTGTAGAAAAGTGGCTAGACCATCCCGGCCCTCGTCTCTTTCCGTTCTTGGGACTGGAATGTGCCTATAACCTCCCCCCACCTAGAATAGGTTCAACTAATTACAAAAGGCTAGTCACAGCATGTATGCTATATATGCCTACCTTGACCCCCCAAACCACCCCAATGTAGGCATATATAGCAGTCCCATGGAGTGTCTGGGATAGGCTAGTCAAAGTATGTCAAATTAGTCCCCTATCCTCCCTATCGGCACCTCATGGCACCCCTTTGACTCCTGGTACCCTATGGATCCACTGCCACCGTACCTCAGAAGCTAGGCGCCAGGACCCGACTGGCTGGCGCCTACATAAATAGTCTCCTTCCTCACCGTACCTCATCAGGTTCGGCGGCAGTGGATCCATAGGGATATATATATATATACCACGGTACCCTCCCTTGAAGCTAGAGGGTCTCTCTTTGTGCCACCTGACTCGGCTGGTTTGAGGGGTCCAGTTAGGGGTCCTCTTTGGCCGTGTTAGGGGTCCAGTTCACAGGAGGTTTGAGGGGTCCAAACCCCCAGCTGCAGGTCCTTTCAGGTCGATTCTTTGCTTCGCACATGGGTGAAGAAGGATCACGCATCCACTCAGACGACTCCAGACGACGAAGGAAACATCATCCACTCAGTCGCCGGGTGGGCCAGGTGAGTTGGAAACAGAAACACACAAAACAAGGGGCAGACCCCTCCAGTCCCTATGGATCCACATACCTTCTGAGAAGGTGATTGGAGACTATTTATGTAGGCGCCAGGAGGGTCCAATTAGCTTCTGAGAAGGTATGTGGATCCATAGGGAGTCCGGATTCCAGGTCCAGCCCCGAATTTTTCCGGGTCCAGCTCTTGAGAACAACGGAGTCCCCGAGCCTTGGGGCGTCAAACAATGCACACTGTCAAGGTTCGGAGTTGAGTGATTGGTGGAAGGGGTGCCCCTGTCACGGCCCCGAGCTTCCTGCGACGAAACGAAAAAAACAAAAACTGGCCTCCAACATAGCTTTCTCCTGGCAGGTTTGATCGCCTTCATCTTCGCAGAGATCTTCTGCACCTGCTTCTTCGCCAAGTCCAATGATGACGACGGCGATGCTCTCTTCGTGGCCTTTGCGATCTCTTGCTGCGGAGGCGAGTCCACGGCGACGATCTCTGGTGGTCTGGTGAGCTGCAGAAACCACCGTCAGACACGGATGCAAACGGTTTGAAACCACCCAGCACCTTCCGCTCGGGGTCACCTGGCTGGAACCTCCAGACAGGACACCCCTTTGAAGGTCCAGGACTGCAAGATATAAGATAAGTTTGTCTTTTTTTGGGGGGGTGCATTTTTTTTGTTTTTCGATGTTATTTTTGGTGAGTGAGTGTGGAACGACCCTTTGCTGGCGATCATGGGAAACATCTTGGTTGTGCGGTTCTGGCGATAGTTTGTTTTCTCATGGTCTCTATGTGGGTGTTCATCCTGGCTTTCGCAATCAGCAAGTCCAAGTCAATTATAGTTCTGGCCTTGAAACGGGGATCAGGCCAGCGGTTGCAGGAGGTTAGTCGGCTCGGATGCCGCAAAAATGTCCTGAAGACCAATTTCAAACGCTGGTGTGAACTGCGTGTAATGGACGCTGACAAATAGGTTAAATCACGACGTGCCCCAGACCATCCATGTATGGAATAATTACATATCCCATGATCATCCATGTGCTTGCAACTATTCCACGCCAATGGATTATCTGGGTATACCTACCATCTACTGGAGTCCAAGTCGCTCCCATTTTCACCACAGCCCTTCAGTCGGATCATGATGGCCAGCCAGACAGGCCTCATCTTGCTGCCCTTCTTGGTGTTGACCTATGGATCCCTGGTGCGAAGCAACATTTTTTTCCAAGATCTGGACCCGCAAATGTGGGGACACAGGAAGAATATAGTGAAGAATATGTATGGGTCTATGTTCATGCACTGCATGCACCGAAACCCAGAGTGTCCAAGGATTGTGGGGGTTCCTCTTCTGTGGTGGCCTCTTTTGGGCTTTGCGACTCCTTGCTCTGTGCTGCTTCCTGTCGATGCACATCAAGATACCCAAGCAACTGGACGGCAATGGAAGGTGTTTACTCACGTTTTGGCGTTGAAAGCGGGGCAACGGAGTGTTCGGGTCCGGTGGCGAGAAGTGCACCTATGAACTGTGTGTCTGAGATGACCCGTCAATGACTCCTCATCACCCGTGGCCCAACAGGAAAGACACACATTCATTTTAATGAATTTGACCGAACAACCATGTTTTTGTCTAAGGATTTTATACAACAAAACCTAGGGAAAACCTGTCCTTTAATGGTCGATCCGAAGACTAGGGCTATGAAACGAAGACAAAACTAGGAAGCTCCACTGAACCTGTGAGTAAGCTTGTCGCCTGGGCTAGATTGCTGGCTGTTTGGGTGTTTGGGCCACGTGCCACTGGCCACGTGGCAGGAACACCAGACGGAATTGACCGAATGTGAACCCAAAACAGCTTCCTGGAGTCCTCGCAAATGGATGGAAATGGGTACTATCTGTGTTTTTTGTTTTATTAATAAGGTCATTGATTCATGAGTCATGCCCAATCTGTTTGGAGTACTTTGAGAGTCCAGCTTCTTATCACTTAGCGTCGCGTCATTCCCTTGAGTCCACCATCGTTTTCACCACTCTCAGTGTTACCTACTTGCGTGTCAGTCATGAATACGTCCCGGACCATCCAGACGGGACGTTGTAAGTCCCAGACACGACCCATGGGACTGCCAGTTCGGACTGCCTTCAAAACGGCCAGGGGTGGTGCTGCCAGAGGGGTCTGGCTTGATCGGCAGTCCGTCCTGGCAGTCCCAGACAGGTCGTGTCTGGGGTATACCACATCACATGGTTACGTGGATGGCATGGTCCCAAAGTGAAGGCCACTTTAGGAGCAGAGGGTTTATCACTTCCATGTTGGTGAGTGTCACATGTTGTAGTCGTCCCATGGATCCAGTCCGACGTATCCTAACCTGACGTTTCGAATTCCATGGGATCCGGTCTGACGGCCCGCTTCGGCCGGCCGGCCAGCCGAAGACGAGGCGCCAGGCAGAAGAAATGAAAGAACCGTTCTAGCAATCGCCTCCAGTAGCAAGAAAGGTACCAAGACTTGGAGTCCGTGACCTCTTTGGAGTCTCTGTTTGTGACCTCTAAGTGACCAAACTTATGTGACCAAAAATCCTAGGGATCTCAAACAGCCACTGACTGAAGGTGCTGAGGTCCGGGCAAAACTGCAAAAACAAGACGGTGCATGATATATGGGATGCGTGCTGTAAAAACAAATCAAAGTTATCTACTGCTACTGGTTTTGACCAGCAGTACGGCAAATCAACCAACCATAGGGGGCCATCCTTGAAACGTCATGTGAGAGTCATGTGGTTAAGTAAAAGGTACGTGATGGACTTGGAGTGACATTTCTCCTGCACCATTTGACCACGCAAGAAGTGCCTGGCACTTGCATTGGCCACATCGGCAGACGGTGAGTCAATAATATGTCCGGACCCATTGGTGAAAGAAGCGCAGGGCGCGAAACATCTCAACCCATTGGGGTATGGTGGCGAAACAAGTGACTCAACCTATAGCCAGGTGGAGTGGAACCCCCCAAATGGACCAACGATGACACAAAGCATCGTTCTGGAGCATGCTCGGAGCCCCTGCCCGCTCCGTACAGTGAACATGCGCCGTCCGCCTTCCTACGGCGCCGATCGCTCGAGAGCGCTCAGGATGGAGCGGCCCAGCAATCAAGTTCGCTTCCAGCGTGGAGCCAGTGACTGTGCCAAAGACGGCGACAACCGAGGATCATCCCAACTGCTTGGTGGGGGTGGCCGTGAACAAAAGGGGGGTGAATCTCCAAAGGCATGGGAAAGGCATCGGACATGTTTTATGTGTTCCCGGTTTCTGCAGATCCAAGTTTGGCTGGCGAAAGGAAAGAGAAAGGAGCTTTGTGTTGAAGTTGGTACTGGTCTCTAAAAAATTGCACTCGGATGATCCAATGTACCTTGTGCACCAACAATATCCAACAATCATGGTTTTCCGTGGAATTCACCCCCAGTTTGGTATGAGGAACATCGTCTTCTGGTCAGGGCCCTGGCGGAACTCACTTAGATGGAAGCCCACAAGCCAACTACATGAGATAAGAAAAGAGATTCACCTGTTTTCTATAAAGCTACATTTGCCGACCTTAGCATCGTCTGCCAAGTAAAGCCTTCAAATCTATCCGCCTCAGGATGGTCGCAAAAAGCTCTACCAAACAAGAACCGTCGACCTCAGACTGACACCCTTCATCTCTGCTTCGCCCTTCTCTTCGCCCAAAGAGAACGGACTGGTGGAACGGTGGTCAGGAACGGACCTGAACAGGCATGGCTACCTCCCACCTGGACACAGTCCAGCCTCCCCTCTTCATTGAGCCTCTCCTCTTCATTGAATAGGCCTGTTTAAGCCCCGGGCATGGAGACCTCTCAGCTGGAGACACATCCGGTCACACCTCCGGTCACACCGCTCCAGCTCCGAACGACCGGCGAGCCGGACGCCCGTTTCCCGTCGACGTGTTTCACGTCATCCGCGTGCGTTATGGGCTGAGGCAAGATTATGGGCCGTAGCGTCCCCGTGACCCCCAAGGCGGGACGACCTGGGACCTGGGAGAAGGAAGGCCGTCCAAAGCCCGGTGGAGCAGCGAAAATGAACAGAGCAGAGACTACAGGCAGGAGGTCAACCTACCAGTGAAACGGGCTTTAGATGGCTTTAGGTTTTTGGCCCACAGACGGGAACGGGGTCCCACTCTGGAGGCTTCACCACGTGGAGATGGCATGGTTTCAGAACCAATTGGACCAGGTTGGAATATATACCGGGGGTGGTTTCAGGGGTCAATGTAGGCATATATTGTTGTGATAGTATATAATATATCATCATATATTCCATACCTGGACCCTCCAACAGGGTCACCATTTGCCACGAATAAAAGTCTCCAATTGTTGCCATTTCGGAGACCTGGGTCAATCGGGTTGCCACATGTTACGCTGTTTTTTTTTCTGTGTCAGGAAACATGCCATGCGTTTGGTCTGGTCTCTGTTTCGAACGGGCATCCGATGGTGCACGTTCGAATCTGCACATTCCATCCCAGACCATGCCATGGGACTGGAATACATGCCTATACATTGACCCATATTGACCCCTTTTTAACCACCCATACCGTGTAGTTTAATAGGGCCAGTCCCATGGATGGTCTGGGCATGTGATTCCTCTTGGATCACTGATGTGCGTCCGACGGCTGACCTGGGCGAGCGTGTACAGCAGGGTGTACCCAGACGTTGGACGCGGAGTTTAAAACATCGGCGGTGTAGGGGGTTTGTGCCTCGTGTTTTTAACATTCAAATTCCCTAGGGATCCAAGTACCTTCTCAGAAGGTGATTGGAGGCACTGTTATGTAGGTTTGGAGGGTCCAAGTACCTTCTGAGAAGGTACTTGGATCCCTAGGGATTCAACCACAGGTTGAGGGTTCTAACACTTCATGTTTGTTGCCCACGAAACAACCATGGTTGGACGGCAACGACCGTGTCGGCGGGTTCCACCAGTGCGAGTTAAGTGTCGCCGGGTCACATCACAGTCTTCCACCAGTTTGGGGGTGGATCAGACCACCGAGGGTTTGACAGCTGGACCAGGCCTTGGGTTTGACAGCTGTCAGTCGATTCAGCATGCGTTGTACCTCCCAAATCTGTACCTGGAGTCGACACCCCTATAACAAGATAAAACTAGTATAGCGGCCCGCGGCTTTTGTATGTGTAAACCAGTTATGTCTCATTTTCGAAGGTACTTGAAGTCGGGTGCACGTAGATTGGGAGATTTTGGGTTGGTGAAGTGTTCTCCGCATGTCGAGAACGGAGATCACCAGGAAAGAATTCTGGAACCCCCAAAACCACAGACTTTAAGCCTCTTCAGCCAAGTCGTTCATCCCTGGAGTTTCAAAGTACAAGCACCTGTTTTTGCATGTTTTTGTAGGTCATGTCCCCTATGGAGGGTCCAGGTCTTCTCAGCCGAGGTTGTTGATGAGCCGAGTAATGAGCCGAGCAATGAGCCGAGCAACGCCAATGCTTGACTCTGGGAAAGCGTGGCATGTGAAGATTGCGCTAGCTTTCATAATACAGGCTTGCTCCGCCCGCTGTTGAGGGAAAACGACAATTTCATCCACAGCTTATAACAACCAGCATCCTCCAACTGGTCTCTTCTAGAAGGTTGTTAGGCGTTGGTGAATGAGTTATATATTACGTAGATTTACTAAGGGTTTTTACCAAACAACCATTGTTTTACTAATGATTTTACACTACAACACCAGGTCCATCCACCTCTTGGACTTCCATGGAAAACATACATTGTTTCACATCCCAAACGGATCTCACTATACATTCTGTTTCAACGAAACGGTTCCATCGGTCTTTTTCACTGAACCCCCCCAAAAAAGCTTGTGGAACATTCATGAACATTCCAAAGGAGCTGGCAGGGTGAACTGAGTGAAACATAGTGAAACACATTGACAAAATCCCTGTCGTTATAGTGTTTCACTTTTTAGGGGATCCACTGGGTGACACGTTTTGGGTCTCAAGGTGCCATTCCGGGTGGAGCTAGCTGGGTTTCGGGGGAAAGGGTGGATGGTTTCTTCCTGAAGCCAACTGGGGGAAAAGGGGGAACAGACCGGATGATCTTCCGACTGTGCAACATTTGCCGATGTCATCCAGAAAACCAGCCGGAAGAAATGCAGATCCATGCAGGTGTTGCTTGTTCCACGACGCAATCCAAGCTTGGGAGCAAGTTGTGTGCTATTGCCAGGCTGATGGGGAAATGATAAGCACAAGAAAGCTCGCTACAAGTGTACTATTATGGATGCTGAACATATGAAATTTCACATGAATGATAAGAGGACTGCAACCAAACATGTTTTTCTCTTATTCATACTACCTGAACCCTCAAATTGTCAAAGTACTCCTAAAAATGGGACACGACCCCATAAGAAAAGGTACTTGTACCATCATCTTCGTTTTCGGAGGTACATGGAGGTACGAACTCAGACTCCATGACTTACTACATGTTTCCTGTTGTTTTTCATCTACCGGGGCCATGCTCCTACCTCGCGCTGGTGTTGCGGGCAAAGTCTTGCGTGTCCCAAGATGGGTCACATCTTGACAGGGGTCAACCCGACCAGAGCTCTAAAAGCATGTGGGCCAATGACACAAGAATTCAGAACCTAAAGGATATTCTTGATTCACGTGATCTTGTCAACAAGATGTTGGAGGCCATCGCTTTTAGGTTGGAGGCCATTGCTTTTAGGTTGGAGGCCATGTCATCTGCAGAGCTCATCAACCCGACCAGGCTGCTGATCACTCAAGAGCAAGGGGGTTCGTGAAGTGCTGAACCATTGGATAACCCACAGTTGACTCCTGATCGTCCAGCAATAGGGGGTGGTTGAAAAGGGGTTCAATGTAGGCATGTAGTCCCATACCATCCCATACCCAGACCATCCATACATTCGGGTCCCTTTCCTCGGTTAAATGTATGGAACTAGTCCAGACATGGATGTTTTCGAACCCCCAGCGATCCTGGCCCATTGGATGTCGCCGTCGCAGACTTGGGAGGACCAGGTCTCTCAACCCCCAAAGTTCCGGCCTCGACGATGTTTCAGCACCTCCCAAGTAAGGGAAATGCCCAATTCCAGACTCGGATCACTGAAATCATTTGCCTTTTTTGGAATTGTTCGGATCAGGACTCTCGACAGGGTGCTGGATTTGGGTTTGGAGGACTGGCGCTCAAAAGACATTCATCGATCTGTCCGTCCCACCGGCCAAAGGGTTGGCTCCTGTCCGTTTCAACGGTCAGCGACCGTTTCAGCGACCGTTTCCGCGTCGAAGGCGGGTTTCACCCACGTTTTCAGCGTTCTCAGAAGAGTTGACGACGCCTCTGGTGCATGTGAACCGAAATGGCTGTGACGTTCGGGCACCCCGCTTCGGGATCCGGTCGGACCGAACCTCAGGTTCGGTACGACTGGATCCCAAACGGGCGACTTACCGAGGAGATCAACCAGTGTGAGTTCTGGGGTGCCATATGGTGCCATGCTGCCTAGTTCCCCAGGGATCTGTGGGGGGGATCTATGGGCAAAGCTGAAAGCTGTAAGATGCTGTGTTCTTCAGAAACCACCAAGTACCCGATCCTCCTGGTGATTTGCGTATCAGGTGATTGTTTAAAATAGCGAACTGAGTGGTTTTGCGCTGGCATGGGGAATATGATGGAATATGAGTTTTTTTTGTAACCAGCTCCTTAAGCAGTCCTGCTGGAAGAAAACAAAACCTTCGAGTGCGGACATGGCGGACTCTCCGTTGGATCCGCCTTGGGAGTTCCTGAAGACCTGCTTGTTACGCTCAACTTGCGGCATATCGGGTACATCAGAGGACCTGTACATATACGGTATATCGGTATATCCTCTCTTTTTCCACAAAACGGCCTAGTATCATCCCAAGGAATGCCAGGTATTACAAATCAGGAAAGGTTATAGACACCCTACACCTCCAGTCGTGCCTCCTAAACGGTTCGGTATGACTGGACCCGACAACTGGCACCTACCTACCCCCAGTCCCCCCACGAAACGATACGACTGGAGCCTTGAGGGACAGAGACTGCCAGGTGTCCAGTTCAGCACTCGAACCACACGAATCCTCCTCCCAACTCTCCGGGGTCGGCAGGGGGCTTTGAAGGTTCCGGGTTCCGGTTTTGTGGTGTGAATCCCAAGGGTTTGGGGGGAAGCGTTTTAAGATGAGCCGCGTTTTTCTGGAGTGATGAAGACGGATTTGCCACGGAGGTCTTCTCTCCCACGCTCTCCCTGTGTGAAAACAGCCCCCACAGCCGGTCCAAAACAGACACCAGACCCCTGACCGCGGATGGGGGTCTCCAGCGTCGCTTGGGTTGGCTTCTCGGAGCATCACAGGCTCAGGGGTCATTTTAAACAGGCAAACATGCCTACTCTTTTTCCAAACATGGAATCCAACCAGGACCCCCTTTGTAGAGGAACGTCTTTTTGGGGCCACGGTCTTCCACGTAACCATGAGGACGTTTCGGGGAGTGTACATTCACCAACTGCATCGTCCCTGTGTTTTTTGGGGTCGTTCGGAACGATTGGTGCGTCCACTCGACTGGGAAACAACATATTGACTCGGCCGGCACTTCTGGGAAGGCAGTGCGTCCATGAGCAAACGATGAGTATAGAGATGAAAGGTGAACCCCACCTGGATTTCATGGACTATCATGGATTCACCAAATCCAAGATTCATGGATTTGGATCCACTTTTGGGATCTCACTGGATTTGGTCAAATCATGCCAACAGCTGAACCTTCATCGATGTGTTGTTGCAAACTAAATGGCCTACTACCACAAAACTATATAGTTTTGGTTTGGAACTGGCCTGAGCTGAATTCTGATCAGGGGGAACATCTTTGCAAGCTATTTGTTCTGTTTTGTTGTGTTTTGTGGAAAAGATGAATCCCATGCAGACACTCCATGGGACTGCCATAGTCACCCACACTGGGGTGGTTTGGGGGTTCAGAAAGAACTGTTGTTTTTGACTCATGAATTACCCCACCTGGAAGTCGTGGGAGATCATGTTTGCCATTTTCCTGGACTCTCAGGGGGAGTTTTTGGGTCGCGGACGAAGGATGCGGGTCCCAATGGAAGCTCTTCCCAGAAGGTGCCAGAAGAACGTGGGCGGTTCTTGAGGAACCGAAATTCATCCAGATTCGTGGGCGGACATCGGCGTGTCCGGGTGTCTCCGATGCTCAATGGCATGTGGAGTCACAGATTAACCATGCTCGTCTGGAAGAAAAGGCGCTGTAGCATCACTGGCGAGATTCGACACCTCACCTTGTGTCCAGAGGATGGGACACGGATGGGACTCAGATGCGACACCTTTAGAGGGTATACTCTAAACCTCTACTACTGCCAACCAAGTCCACAGGATCTTCTCCTATGATCTTAGCATGGTTTACGTTTTAAGAGTTCCGCGAGAACCACACCTCTGCCTTTTTTTTTGCCCGGACATGTCAAATCTGCTAGGCATTTGCTGCATTTGACCGTTGCAGCAAGCCTGCAGTGTCACCAAGCTTCAGATGAAGGCCATGACGAAGCGAGAATGAAGTCCACAGCAATGTTCCCACCAGTATGGACTGGACATGACTGGGTTGCTTGTCTTAGAAGGTGATGACAAAAAAACACCTGGACCCCGAAAGTACTCCTAAAAATGGGACATGACCCGAACTAATAACATGTACTTGTACCATCTTGTACCCATTTTCCGAGGTATTTTAAGACTCCAGGCACACACACACATGAAGGTTTGTTGTTTCTTTATGGCGCCAGCAGCTTTTGGCTCAAAAGACTCTGGACGAGTCAGAGTCGACATGTCAGAGTCGAGCGATGACATGGCCAACTGGAAGGGGAAGTGGTCGTCCTGGTGTATACCCATGAAGGACTTCCGGCTAGAGCCACTTGATCCAATCGCGGGGCGTTTGAGTCGGACTCTTTTGAGTAGCTGAAGGCAGGTGGGACGATTTAGCTGGCAAAAGTTGGACCGGTATTAGTTCAATTGTGACCTACATCATTCTTGGAGGAGCCAGGGGATGCAATGGGGAGAAGAGCAAGGTGGTGCCCTGCGAAACCTGTGTAGCAGGACCATGGTGTGGCTTTCAACTGTGAATCGAAGGAAGTACAGGGATATAAATATAAAATAATTAACTTCTCCGATATGATTTACGGCCCTGGGAATTGCATGTCAGCAGTTAGAGAGACAGATATAGATAGATTAGATTGCCTATATAGATAATCCTAGATATATAGTGAGAGACAGGGGGAGAGAGAAGAGAGAGAGAGAGAGAGAGAGCTGCGATTCTCACAAGTTTATGGAGTCTTTTGTAACCCAGACACTGCATGTCGTATGGAACAATAGATATACAGTACATATATATATATATATACCAATATACATTGATTCCTGCAACCAACACTATGTCGGGACTTATGCCACGCACATGAAGTGTTTGGCTAAGGAGGGCACGAGGGGCTAGAGGGGCTTGTTCCGAGGGCGAGATGAAAACACTTGCTCTCCGTCCCCCCCAAAGAAAAGGAAAGTGGAAGAGGCCACTTGGTAGAGAAAAATGGTCAACAGGGACTCATGCCATGCACGATGGGCCGGAGCCCAAAATCCACATGTGGGAAGAGCAAAATATATTATCACAACCCTTTTCTGGTGAATATATTTGTATATACTTGTCCGGTTTCCGAATCAGTAAATCCAAGACTGGGGCATGACGATGGACGGAATGCCTCCCAGTCAGACAACTGATGCGACACAATCGACCCACGCTTCATCAGTGGAGAAGGTATATATACACTCCCTGAATTAATCAAGGAAGTGGAATAACCACCTGTTTGGTATTCGGACAGTTGTCTTCCAAGGGGCCATGCCATCTTGATTGTTTTAGGGAGTGTGTTGTTTCATTAACATGCCAAACACATTCGAAATGAAGAACTTCAAGCACGCCTTGAATTGCTGGTTGCCAGCTGGTCATCCTAATGATTCCACCCAATTCCCCCCACCAACTGCTGGGGGGTTTGGCCGTTTTTCGACCGCTGATTCTTGGCTATAAGAGTCCAGACTGGCATGGGCAAGAGACGAAACTGGCGTTGGCAGGACACCCTGGTGCTAACAAATGGTTGTGTAATGTTGTGTACTTAAATAGGGGAGACCTGGAACCAGTCTACCTCTTTTATCGTCATATCACTACATCAAAAGTACAGCATAATGTTCAACAAATTCATCACACAATTAATTCACAGCCTCACAACAATACAACAAAACAGTTCAACAAATCATTTCACAAACTTGTCCACCTGTAACACACCCCAGCAAAACATCTCGCCAAAAAAAGAAACACATACATATATATATATACAAAACATGTCTTTAAACCTCATGTTTCCAATCAATAACGGTCCTTCTTCCAGAGGGTCGAACTGGCAGGTCTCCACACCCAAATCCCCCACACCGGGTCTTGCAATCTGCCCCTGCCGCAGCGAGAAGATTCGCCGTCCCCCCGTTGAGGCTTCAGGAAATACCTAGTACTAGATCTTCCAACTTCTGCAAGAAAGGATGCCTCTTGAACCGTTTATAACTACAAAAAGCAGCCAAGTTCAGCATACATTTTACGGAGTTGGAAGATCCAGGTATGGCCTGACATTCACCACCCAAAACCACCAACTGGACATGGTTTCCCACCACCCCATGGCTTCCCTCGGAACCTCAGGTTCCTTTGTGGCTTGACAGTGGCCTTAGCGCTGGTGCCGGAGGCGGTGCCCTGGCAGAATTGGCAGACGGTACACAGTACATACATCTCAGGAGTGGCTGGGTGCTCGCGAATGAGTTGATGCTGGGAAAACTGCCTCTGGTTGGTGGCTTGGGTCATTGCTTTCGTCTTCATGGTTCGCTTCCCGGTGACTCAAGTGCTGAACTCAGATCAAATCGCCTAGGCTTAGATCAAGCAATCTCAACCCAACCCCGCTTCAACATCTGAGCTGTGTGTTCCAGAACGTTCAAGATCTCTTTGTTGTCCAAATCCAGATGGATTCTTTTCGTTCCTGCTCCTCTTTTAGGCACTATGGAATGCACCAAGTAACAACAATAAGAGCCGCATGAATGGACCCAAATCTGGTCCTTCATCCATCTTTCTCAGCGGGGTTCACGCTAAGGAGATCGGAACACGAAGTGAGACACCCCCTGACTCGCCCTCTTTTTGGAGTTTATCATTGCCAACCTTACATACAGGTCAGTTTGACCTCATGAAATACTGGAGTTGCTCATACAACACTACTCAAGGAGGTCAGTTTGACCAGGTTTGGACCTGGGTCGGACAGGGTTTCACCGGTGTACCATGCATCTTCCATTGAAGCATGTCCAAAGAGCCAGTGAGCCAGTGAATCCCTATTAAAGCTCGAGGTGTTGCATGGTCTAACAACAATTGAGCATGGTCGTCTATTGGCAAAAAGACGTCATCTTTAATATGTGAAAGCGAAGACTGCTCAATTCAGATTCATTTCAATTTGAACCCCCCAAAACACTGCCCTGCACAAAAAGAACATGGGCAGTCAATGTTTCACCTCCCAATGGGCAGGGACATCGAATTCCCACTGCAGCGTGATAACTCGTCGATCGAGGTGGCCTTCGCCCTGGCCGCGGGCTTGCCACCCGACGTGGGGCTCAACAGCGCATGGATCATCTCGGCGGCCCGGCAGCGGAAGCGGTGAAGCGAGGGCGGTGGGGCGTTGGGTCCGGTCCTGTCGGGCGAGACACCGAGGCGATCCCGGCTTTTTGGAGGGACGAAAGACCTGGCACATCCTGGCGGAGAAAAGGGGGATCCTGGGGTTGATGTTGGTTTTCCCAGTTTGGCCCCGCTGAGGTATATGTACCGGGTTTTGGGGGTATCGGGTCTAGACGTCTGAGTTTGAGTATTCTTCTTTCATGAAGGTCTGTATATAGAGTCTATATAGAGTCTACATAGTCTACATGTCTGCCTAGATCTTCCAACTGTATCACAAGTGTTTCCGAACTTGGCTGGTTTCATGGATGAACAAGCATCAATGTCTGCACAGTTGGTGAATTCCAGGTCTACACACATCCCGCTCCCAGGTGATCACCGCGCTCTTCGGAGGCGCGATGCGGGAAACGAGACCGAGAGCGAATGGTGGGGGGGGGGGCGAGAGCTTTGGGAGGCGAGCTTGGAGACGTCTCTCTAGGGCTATCTAGGCCCTATAGGGTTTCATTTAGCATTTCGATCAGTTTCAGCCAGGTTCTTATGGGAATGCATTAGCACACTACTCATGCTGAAGAATCGCCTTTTCAAGCAGTGTCAGCAGTAGAAGCCTGATAGAGCTCCTGTCCCATATCCTCAGGTTAGGTGGGCCAGGGGTGGGTGGGTGCCAGGGGGGGGTCTGTGCCCACCGAACCTGAGGATACGGTTGGAAGATGTCGAAACCTGACCCCAACATTCCCTTGGTACCCAGACCATCCATAGGACTGGTCTATTGAACTACATTGGGATAGTTTCAGGGGTCAATGTAGGCCGCTAGAAATTCAAGCATACTTGAGCCCCTATATAAATATATACAGATCATGGAGTCTTTGGGGGTGCTCTTCTCATCTTTTCTCCTTTGAGCTCCTTCAAACCAACCCGCTCGTGTCACACCACCAACCCGCTCGTGTGAGCCACCTCTCGCCCTCTTCGTTCTCTCAACAGGCCGCCCTGCCATGATTTGCGGCGCCACGGGAAGCTTGGCCGTGCTGGTGCCGGGCACCGTCCAGATGCCGCACGGCAAGGTCTTGCTCTTCTATGCGGCCGCCTGGGTAGAAGAAAGAGCGGTCGGTGAACCTCTCCGGCTGGTGAAAGAGATCGGGTGGTGGGACGAAGTCTGGGAAATGGTTGGAGCAAATCTCCGGTTTCGGAAGGTGTAATGAAGAGGTACAATGATCAAAGGGCCACCCTAGGTATGATCCAAGGGTGTAATGAAGAGGTACAATGATCTGTGCTATTTGTAATTGGTACCATGATCAGCCCCACCCTAGGGCGGCTACACTGCCCAAAGAAATCGATGTGGAATTTGTTCTGTTTTGTAACGTGAACACAACAATATCCCTACACCTCCAGTCGTACCTCCTCAGAAGGTATGACTGGACCCGAACATGGCACCCACCCCAGTCCCACCTTCGAAACGAAGGTACAACTGGAGGCGTATAGGAGATCCTTAAGAATATCATTCGCATACAGTAATTATAAATTAATGCATTTTTCAATTGGGAGTCCATGAGTCCCCTTGATGAATGGATCTTTAGGATTTCATGCCCGGATCCTGCTAGAAAATCAGCTGAGCACAGGCTTTCGGCGAGGCCACTGTGGTCCGAAAGGCTCAAATTAATTGCAGCTCAGCTCGTTTTCCACTCAAACCATATGTACGATTTTTCAGCAGCCATCCATGGAGGCCAGGGTGCCATCCATGGAGGAAGTCGGGGTATGTCGGGGTGCCCCCCAGAACACATCCACTCACTTTTCATGGGCGGTTTGTGTCACGACCTTTGGAAGTAGCAACTGTTTTGAGATGAGCAAAGCAGTACCAGCTTGTTTTGCGTGACCATTCTGGAGTGTTCGCGTGATATTTTGGCAGGCCATCTTCAATTTACCCTCAAAAACAGGGTACCAAATGGTCGTGAACTGAAGAACCAGCTAAGAGCCAGGACCTTGCAATTGAGTTGGCTGTTTCAGAATCCCAGGGATTTTCGGGCAGAGGTCAGGGCGGCCTGGCCTGAAGGTCGGTGACAATGTCCTGGACAGACCTGGCTTGGCGAAGAAAGGATTTTGTTTTTCCATGTTCCCGGCTCCTGGGTTTTCATCCCCTGACATGAAACATATTCAATTGTCCCCAGCTCCTGAGCAGCACCAAGAAAGACTAGTCGACATGTCCATTTTGGTGAGGCCTGGGTTCGAAGGAAAGACTCAAGACTCGACTTGAAGAAAAAGACTCGCAGGAAATCAGAAAGTCCCTCACCTACCATTTGCCACCCAGTCCCAACCAGCCCTAGGGTTCCAGTCGTACATCCTGGCGCCTACATAAACAGTCTCCAATCACCTCAGAAGGTATGTGGATCCCTAGGGCAGAAAGAATAGGATTGAACCCCCCAATCTCAGCCAGAAATCCAATGTAAAGGATCTCAAGCTGGCGCCATGTTATTGGAACAACTTGAACTGTTTTTGGCTGGGACTGGGTTCCCACGACACCTGAACTCTCAAACCCGAGAAATGCGGTCTTTCCACTGGGTTCCCAGGTGGAAATGGATGGCATGGGGCATGGGGGGGGAAGAGAGCAGATTCCTTTAGCAACCGGGGGGGTGACACGTGGGTTCCACGTCGTTTTGTGTATCTCTCTACGTATGAAGCAGAAGGGCGCATTCTTCCCATGACCATCCCTGGCCTGTTCTCGGCCTCTATTCCACCAATATGAAGTGTTTGAGCAAGGAGGGCACAAACTGATTTGGGCTTGTTCTGCCCCGGGATAGCTAGGTTTCTTGTTCCTAGGAGCTTCTTGTTACTACTAGTAATTCACTTGTTACTAGAAGCGATGCACTTGTTCCGTTCGTAGCTATGAGGTGATCGTCATGGGTATCATCGAGATCCTTTTGGGACTCCTCAGCGTGGGCACTTTGGTCTCCTGGCGGCGGTCTCCGGTGTGCACTCGGTGGAACGGGCGGGTCGGCACTCGTCCCGTTCTGCAAGAAATCGGTTGTTTGGGCTCAAGGTACATCAGTTTTCAGCATCCAACATCAGGAGCATGACCAAGTAGCATGACCAGCTTGTTTGTCACCCACCCCGGAAGACACTGTAGGGCTCCTGTCCGATATCCTCAGGTTCGGTGGGCACAGACCTCCCCTGGCCCACCTAGCCTTGGGATGTGGGCCAGGAGCCCAAACGGGAAAGGAGGTGGGGCCGTACCGGCCGGTCACCGGCCGCACTTCGGGTCCTCGGCGGCTCGAAGATTCGCCAGGTGAAGCTGATCCCGGTGCCGGTGATGATTGGTTTTTGCAACGGCTTGGCGCTGGTCATTGGCTTAGCGCAGATTAGCAACTTTAAGGACCGGCAGGTTTGACAAAAGAACACTGAACATATCTGAACATGGGGTGTAATTACAACAGAGAATTTAATATAGCTTATTTGTGATTCTATATTTGATGTGGAGTTGGTTTGTTGGTCTTCGATAGTCGATGGGTTTGTTGCTTGCCAAGTTTGGCAGCTGTCGGCAACATCGGCGTTTCAGGTCAAGTGGTCGGTGTTCTCTTGGTCCTTTGCCAGTTCTTGCGTGTATCATGTTCTCTTGTGATTCGGGTTCACTGGAGTTGGTGGCCTCCCACCTCTTTTCACGCCGCTTCTTGCGCTCCGCACGAGCGGAGCGCAAGGACCCCGCTTGCTTTGGGGGCAAATGCGGCGAACATGCCGCCGACGCGAGCGCCGCGAGCGCAACGAGCGCAGCTGCACGGCGCTTGGACGCGTTCCACGCTTTTACGGATCCGACTCCCTTCATCCATGGAGAGGAGGGACTTAGGGTTGGGCAGACAGGGCTGGGCAGAAAAAACTAGGGCTGCTAGAAGCTGATACTGTGGCCCTAACCTTCCAATACCAAAATCCTTGACAGTGGTTTGGGATTCTGCCTAATAATGGTGGGTCAGGAATCCTAAGGTGCTTCATTCACTTGGGACTGTGAACCAGCAGTTCCATGTCGGGGGTGCTATCCATGGAGGAAGTCGGGGTGCCCCTGTCACATCCACGAGCCCTGGATGGGACGAGCCACGGCACCCCTTTTGTAACTCCTGGAATTCTCAAATTTCCTCAATGTTGTGTGTCAAGGGCTTGAACTGACTGGTCACTTTCAAGGAAGCCAGATATGAAACTAGAATCAGGGGATTTGATATGTTGTGGGGTTTCGTCATGTGTGGGATTTCCTCAACACATGGTTCCGTCCCTCTTGGTTCACTGGATCTCACGCGTCTTAACAGGCTGGTTGACTGTCAGATACCAGCAGTGCATCAGTGGACACGAGGGGCCCTGAATCAAGGGTTCATTGAAGGAAACAGCTCATTGCAAGCCACCATGGAACGTGAACACTGCTCGGACATGCTCTAGTGAACCATCGCTTTGACATGCTCTATATAATTAATCAGGGCCATGTAAGGTCGATGTCTGAATAGTCTTTCTTACTCCTGTATGTCGAGGATCTTGGTGAAGCTCTTGACGTTTCTTGTGCTTCTTTTTGTTGGTTGTGGATTTCAAGTCGTCCAGCACGTTGTCCTGCGTTCTCGCCGCTTGTTGCGAGAACACCCGGCGTTTCCAGGAGGCCATTTTCGCCGCAATCATCACTGCCACTCGGATCTGGAAAGCGGCTGGAGGTGACATCGCCATGTTCCATCGACGGATTCCCTCAGGGCTCCTGGCCAACATCCTCAGGTTCGATGGCTGGGGTGGGTGCCAGGGGGGTCTAACCACCTGAGGAGGTGGTTGGAGCCTTAGGGTAAGATAAGACCCAAGACCTATAGTTTGGGTGTAATTATAGTTTAAAGCTGGGAGACCTCCCATAAAGACTTCCTGGAAGAAGGAAGAATAGACCAGTCTATTATACCCATTGGTGGGGTATTTAGAATTTGTTGTCCTGAGCCTGACCCTCTCATGTACATCCGGGGAGGATCAGCGGGCCTAAGGGAGGCGGTGGGAGTTCAGAAGCACCATGGAGGCATTCGGACTCGTTCTCCAGACGGGTTTGGAGGGACCGTCTGGGGGTTTCTCACGTGACTGGAGTGACCATCAGGGACCGGAGAACGGAAGTAGGGCGGAAGTAGCGCTGTGTTTTCACGGCGCATTTTTGGGCCCCAAGAATGGCTGTGGCTACTTGGCAATCATGGTGTTCACCCCTAAGAATCCCGGCCCTCGAACTGGGAAGGTTTTGAGGGTCCGGACCCCTTCGTTTAGGTGTCGGGTCCGACCCCTGCCATGGAGGGTTCCAAGGATTGTTAGGGACAGTTCATTCCAAGCACTTGAAGCGAACGGAAGATGCTTGGGGCTTTAAGTCGCCTCAAGGGCTTTGAGTTGCCTCAAGTTCTTTCTTGCCTCAAGTCCTCTTCATGGTTGGAGAACCCCGTCATGGACTATCCTCATAGGCACCCTGGTTTCCGATGGTCCGTGTGTTTCCGGGTCCGATGACCGCGGGTCAAAACCTCCAGGGCACCAGGTCGGTTGACCGGAACCAGGGCGGTTCGGCGGAGGTTTGGACTCACAGCCAGATGGCCTTTGACTGGGCCAGATGAATACATAACAATACAATGCACGCAATACAAGACATAACAAAATCATAACAATTAGATCATAACAAAACTGAGCCATATATGAGCTGGCACTGACCCCTCTACCTGTAGTATCAGTTCGTACCTTGGAAAATTGGTAATTACCTGCATTTATTATTTGGGTCATGGATCCATTTTCGCTACTTCACGAACATTCGGTGACCTGTTTTTCGTCTCAGGTCCTGTCCTTTTGCGTGTCCTTGTGGCTTCCGAAGCTTTCGACACGAGTGCCCTCGGCGCTGGTGGCCATCATTGTGGGGATCATTTTCGAATGGGCCATCGTGAGGCGCCTTCGACGGGCGTGGGAAGGTCAGACGACCGCTGTTTGCGCCTCCGGTGAAAGATCGCGGCCAAGCCGGCGGGTTTTGGGTGTTTGGCTCATGGTTTTGGACAGGTTCAATATGATGAGGCATGGCTGCGGGAGGATAAAGATGGATGGTGAATTTTAATATAATGTTTTAATATGTTGTATACATATAATATTAGATGGGTTATTATATAGTTATATAGGTTCTAAAAAAGGGATCGCTAGTTGTTTGTCAAACATGAACATCAGCGCTTAGTTACTATTTTGTTTGTTCATGCGGATCATCTCAAAATAATATACCCATACACTCCATGTATGCCATATATGCCTACATTGACCCCCCAAACCACCCCAATGTAGGCATATATTCCATACATGGAGCGCCTGGGATAGGTAATGAACAGCAAATTCAGAAATTGCCAAAGGTGCCGACGGAAGTTTTTTTGAACTCAAAGTGGAGAAAGATCCTTTGTAAAGAGCTAGGCTTGCGCAGCTCCTTGGAATCCAACAGTTCGCACACTGTAAATCAAGAACATGATGTGAATGAACTTAGATGTATCCCAGAAGCAGGTTCTAAGTCCTGTGGATGCTGATCTTAAATCACGGTTCAGTTCACTTTTTGGAGGCATGGATTGCGTAGTGCAGACCAGACCGAACATAGCAGTGTTCACAGCAGCTCTGAAGGCGCAAGCTGCAGTCTGCTACTGGTCAAGACAGAATCAATTTGAACCGAGTGCTTGCGTATGTAAAGAGGAAACCGTGAGGAAACCAATGAAACTGGCATATCATCAGGTTCGTAGTCCATGGCAGCAGTTTCAAGGAAGATGATGATGCTCTCGCAGCTGATGAAGCGGCATCATAGCACTTGGAGATCAAGACGGGCCTCAGATCGGTGAACACCCTATGCAGATTTAGGAGTTCGCATCGAAGAAGCAAACTGCAGTGTTTGCAGAGTTTACTGCCGAACTCTTTTCAGCTCTGGATGTGATCGCCTGAACGCCAGAACCCATCAACCTGGCCCTGACTGAAGTCTTGATGGGAATTCAATCAGCGCACGCTATGGCAAACGTTCAGGAATCAGGAATGAACGCTTTGTCGGTGGATCTAATGATAAATGCTCGCTCAGCGTTCGATTTCATTTTGTCAGTGGACACCAAGGCGACTACCGATAAGTTGATGCTAATCCATGCCCTTTAGCTTAAGGAAATTCTCGCAGTGGCCATAGCAAGCCGTTTATTCCGGATTGATGCTCGGGATATTGTGAAGCGTTAGATAAGGGAGTTCACAGGTGAGTGGAAGATTGGAAACTGCATTTCGAGCTCACGAAGCGAAGCTTTCGGACCAAGCGGAAGGCGTCTGTTTCGTTGCCAACGGCCAAGGTTCGATAGAGCGAACGCCCAAGAGAATCGAAAGATTCACAAGGCAAGCCTGAGTCGAAAGGTATCTGTGTCATTGCATACCATGAATCTGTATCCTTGTCATTCTGTGTGCACCCAGTACCTTTTTGATCCTTTTTGTATTGGTACCATCGCAGCATCACCAGAGCACATTGGTATGGGAGATGCTTCCGTGCGCTTTCTGATCGCTCGATGGCTCGAAGCTTGAATTCCCCCATTCCCAATAGCTATTTCAACTTCTTTGCGTTTTTGACACGAACCACAAACAATAAGTCGCAGAGCTCAGAGACAGCATACCCACCTTATTCTCCAACCCCACCCCCCCCATCAAGGTGAAATCCACACTGGATGTCCCAGCTTAGTGGGCCATCAGAATTGCCGCTCTCTTCAACCCAGAAGACAAGTGAATGTTGTCTTCTCCGTTCAATCCTTAAGCAGCACCCGCCATCAGTTCATCGACCCGAATGAGCGACAACACCACTTATATACATTTTAAACAACATGCACATTTACAAGTGACAAGTAACGCATTTAAAATGCACTTGTTCAAAATGCTCTTGCTGGAAAGCCTAAGTAACGCACATCAAGGCTTTCCAGCATGAGCCCGTGCATTGCGAAGCCTTTATGCAGTGCTTGCGACTGTCCGAAGAGCTTTGCGCCATCCAAATCCCTGTATCCATGATCTCGAGAAGGATCAAAGCCATGAAAGCAAGCCCAAATGTATTCTTTCAAATCATCCACACTCATGGCCGGTGGCCGAATCACCGCACTCAGCGACATTACACCCAACCAGTGTAACAGGCTCTCTTGAACCCAAAATGGGCTACTTGTCAAAACCCATCCAAAACAAGTTAGAAGAACGATTCTTGATCGAAGACCGATACATGCTTCAGAATGGAAATGACAACGTTAGAATGGTGAGTATTGTCATTACTTGCACTGGGCACTATCAAAGCAAACTTTCAAGCTCAAGCAAGATTACCAAGAGAAAGGTCCTGCGGCTGACTTTCCAAGTTGGGAAAACAATCCGGTTCCGCTTCTAAACTTCATGGCAAGAAGAGGTGATCTTCGCACACTGGTTTAAGGCGACCTTGATGTGTCGATATCTGTCCATTGCTTGACTTTTGACTGCTTCTTATTTGCTGCCGCAGGGAAGTTGGAAATACAAAGTGTGATGCGTACTGCGGTGCGGATTTGTAGCGCATGACCCGAAGGCCCGAAGGCAGTGTCTCTCATTTGAAGATGATTTTCTTTTGAACATAATGACCAATATTATATACTACTTATTATGTTCATATTGCTAAACAGGTCTTCCTATATATAGCTAAAATTAAGCATATATGATGTATTTAGAGTACTGACTAGAAACTAAGGACTTGTCGAACACATATGGCGATTCCAAAAGCCTATGTAATCAGGCTTGAACCAACCACCACAATCCATGGAAAAGATGCTTGAGTTTTTCCTTTTCTTGATTGTGGAGACGTCCAAAGGTCCTATGACACCAGGTTTCACCACCCAGACTTCCTGTATTGCTAGAGGTGTTAGCGCAAATCACTTGAGCCTAAGTCACTAGACAGTAGTATATTTATATACAGCAAACAAATATTAAAATGTATATTCAAATAACAACATAAACACATATGTTCAATGTCGAAGACAAAGGAACGTCCTTTTTTAATCAAACTACCCGATCTTCCTATCAACAACTACGTTCCTTTTTCTAGCGATACCGCTTCTACCTTCTACCACCACGTATTTTTACCAGTACCTTTTCTACCGTTACGTTTTCTACACATTTTGTACGGGTGCCTTTTCTACCGCTAACTTCTTTACCTGTTGTTTTGTAGCAGTTCCTTCTTTTTCCGGTGCCCTTCTCTACCGGTATAACTTGTCTACCAGTACCTTTTGTACCGGCACCTTTTTTACCACTACCTTTTCTACCGGTACCTTTTCTTGAGCAGAGTTTAGTACAGAACATGATTTTTGCAAGGTGGTTTTTGTAAGGAACATGGCCAATGCAACTTTAGTTGAGGAAGGAAAATGGTTTTTGCAAGCAAACATGGCCAACGTACATTTTGGTTAATAAGTCTTTTTTGTTATGTGTTTGCAAGTCAAATTTTAATTAAGAAATTGATTATCGGATTTTTTTGTCAAATAAACATTGCCAATGCAAATTTTAATTAAGAAACACAATTTCTGGAGAGTGATTTTGGTTCTGATACCTTTTGTACTGGTACTTTTTCTTACTGTACCAGACCTAAGGCGATGAGAAAAAGAACCACCCGGTGGGTGCGAAAGAAAGGTAGGAACCAAATAATGTGGACATGTAGGATAATATGACACTCCCTGGAACTAACATGCAATGGAAGTGGAAAAAACACCTGTTTGGTTCGTGGATTTCATGGTCTTCCTTTCGGCGCCATGCCACCCACGTAACCATGAGGACGTTCCAGGGAGTGTAAATATCCTTCCAGAAGTCATTGATGTCTTTGAGAGATAGCATCCTGATCCACCCTTTTTCCATGTTGATTCTCTCATCCATCATGTTCATCCTCCTTCATCTCACTCTTCCGTGCTGCAATATGTGCAGTTTTTTTGTGTATAATTACTCATATGGGATCTTTCTCCCTAGCATTTTTCCCTGTCAAAATACAACAACTCCATCAAAAGTTTAAGACTTTCAAACTCACAAAAGATACCCCTCACAGAGGCCCCTCCCCTCCCTTTAACCTCCATGTTGTTTTCCATCTCTTTGATCCTGCACACCGCTTCCTTTTCCAAATCATCCCAAACAAGAAAGGATCACCAAATGGTTTCCCAACACCCTCGTGAAATGGACTGCCGTGCTTTCCACATTCAGTTTCCTCCTCATCCAAATCTTCCCAATCAAACCACTGATTGGACACTTGCTCATGCATTCATGATTCACACAGAACCCCATCATCCATCATCAGGTCATCACCCTCACTCGGGGAATTTGGTTCCCAATACCTCCAACCTCAAACCTTGTTGACCTTGTTGACCTTGAAGGTGAGGGCCCGTTGACTAATCCGACATCGACATTAAATAGTGCGAGCGCTTCTTCAAGGAAGGGTGAATTCTTTTGCATCCAGTAGGTGGTTGCCGCTAGTTGCCCTCACCCTTACTTAATTAAGTAGGGCGCTTACTTAAGTGAGGAAGAGTGGGCGAAAAAAGACACAAAACCTTGCGACGTTGCCACTCGCCTCGTGACGAGGCCAGCCTTTGGCTCGCAGACGCCCATCGTCCAGGATATCGCCGCTGGGACGGGTTCGTTGGCGGCCACGGATGAGAGACGTTCGAACGGGCTATCGCAAATGGAAATGGTTTTGGTGGCCCGGGACATGTGGCAGATGTGAATTGTTCCGTTGAACTCTGTTTAAATTATGGTTGGGGTTGCTGAACAACTCGCTGATTTCTACCGGAACTATTGAACAGCAGGGCTCCAGAAGTGCAGGATCTGCGCCGTTGGTGTTGGAGATATAGTCATGCAGTCCCCAGGCCAGACAGGAAAAATCACCTTCACGTGTGCATTTCAGGAAAGACCAGGAAAGACCGAAACCATACCTCGGAACATGAAGATGGTTCTGAGCCTCTGGGTAGCTTCAATGATTCGTCGCACACGTGTTGCTGACAGAGGGAGAACAGCATTCTTCGCAGCGGATGTCAGACTGTCTGCTCTATTGTTGCTGATGCGCGGGAGCGGAGCACCCAACTAAACCCGGGTCTCCGAGGTCCGACAACTGGCAGGTGGTGACCCAGGGACCCGGTTGGTGAGACGGGTGGCAGAGACTGGTGTTCCATCCAAGCTCGGGGAGTTCATTGATTTGCAGCTGGGGAAACCCATCCAAACATCTCTGGGGCCGATCCTTTCTTCAACGCGAAAAACCACAGAAGACGCCAGGGCAGCCCCATCCAGGCATCTTCTTGAAAAAAGAACAAGAAGCAGGTATTCTGTGGAGAGATCCATGTACACTCCCTGAACTAATCATGGATGTGTAAAACCAGCTGTTTGTAAAGACACCATGTTCTTCCAGACACATGTGTAAAACCACTTCCTCGCGGTAGACGGTCCTCGCGGTTCCCTGGACGTACCTCTTCGGGCGACCTCGCTGTTCGGTGGATGTTTTCGCCCTTCGTCCGGTTCCGGGGTGGGCTCATTTCGGTCGGGTTCCTGGGGGAAGAGTTGTGCTTTTGGCATGGCGCCCAGCTTCCCAGCTTCAAATCCGACATGTCAATTGCAAGTGACGACATGTCAGACAATTGTATTCAGTACCTAAAGCTGTTTGGAACATGTTTGATTCCAAGAAAAGGGTAAGAGCTTTTGTCCGGTGAGAGCAAGTGCTTGCTTGTTTTCCACTATTCAGAGTTTCAATATTTTTATAGATAGGGCTATTCAACAGCTATCCCATGCTATCCCAATAGACCCTTTTATATAACTATAGAAAAATGATGAACCAGATGTTGGAAGCAGCATAATCTCTTAGAAAAAAACACCGACGCTTTGAAAGCACACACACAACTCTGAGCTTGGGGTTCTTCAACTTTGAGCCCGGATTTCACTGAGGCCCCGAACTGCGAGCTTCCAAGACTCTTTTGGTTCAACGACTTGTATGCGACGCTAGCCTGGGCCAGTCGGAGGACTCGAGTCCGAAGGACGTCCTCGATTTGTTCGACTTTTGAAAGGTTTCTTTGTTCCAGGTGAACAACTCTTCCCCCAGGAACCCAACGAAAGCACAACTCTTCCCCCAGTTGAACGGTTTCGTCGGGTTCCTGGGGGAAGATTGTGGATTTTCCCGGTGAAGCAGGGTGAAGCCCTTTCTTTGCAAGCTTCTGGAGAAGATGTGGCTAGGCTGCTAGGCAAACCCCAGTTCTTCACCGGCAAAGGATTAGGCTAAGAGGGTTCAAAGGAAACAAGGGAGATGACTGAACCTTTAGCAGGTTGAAATAAAGAATGGGTCGATCAAAGGAAAAATACATCTATATAAAGAAAAGAGGAAATAGTAACAATATGGTTTTCTTTTCAGTGGCGAAGCTCTCAAATTGAGTCCAGTTCGACTCTATTTAGCATCACCAAAAAAATACCTAGACTCGTGTCACCTAGTCCGAGCATTTTCCAAATAGTCGACAGGACTCCCAGGGGGAATCATTTAACATATCCACGGCAGCCATGAAGGTTCCATCAGGATGATTGAATCCACTATAGGGATGGTTATTCAAGGACAATGCTTAATCCATGGCATGTTTCATCCACGCCTTTGGGAGGGTGCTGAGTACTCTGATGGCTCTGGTACCGTCCTTGAATTTGTTATTTGTGTTTTTGGACCCTGCAGACAGGGATCTCCAGACAGGACACCCAGACAGGATGTCCTCTTAGGAGTTTCTTCAAGTGGCTTGTCCATGCGTGTTGTTTTTTTATAATTCACCGAACGAACAACATTGGCTGGACATATGTATCAAAAGCGAGGTCAAATGGCTTCTATAGTTTGTTTGTTGCACCATGTTGCACAAGTTGTTGCACATCATAACATAATACAACATCAATATACACATCAATCTATCTATATATGTACATTATATCTATGGCCCTGGGGCTTCAACTGACTTCTGAGGCTCGGTGCTTGGGGTACCCAGGGGACGAAGATGGGAGGTTTATTAATCAAGAGTCTTCATGATATAGACTGCTTGGGTTTTTTCCGAACCGAACCCCCGAAAGGGTCGGACCGCTCCGGTCGAATCCAGACCCATGTCTCGACCCCAGAAAGCGATCAAACCAGACTAACCATCCAGGAGTGCCATGGAACCCCACGGGGAGGGGGGAGTGTCTTGGGTGTCACATCATGTCACATCTACTCATCTTGACGACACGGGGGACTTCGGGGCTCAAATCAACTTGACTTTGGAACTGGAGGACATTCTTCCACCCTGGACCCTGGACCAAATGTCCTGGTTCTGTTTAATAAGGATTCATGGGGGGATGAATCCTCTAATAGAATGTAATATAATATACATATTATATATAATTATATATATATGTGTGCATCACATGTTCTAGTTATTTTTCTCAGGTTCCCAGACAGAGCCAGAGATGTCCGAAGCCGAAGCCCTTCTTCTCGCGCCGGACCGCTTGCTGTGCGCTTGCCCCGTTGCGCGCGTAGCTCCGTACGCTCTGTCTGAGGGATGCGCCGCCCTTCACGTGGAAGCTCTTCGTGCAGGTGCTGCCGTTAAGCGTCACCATGGCTGCCGTGGGCCTACTGGAGCCACGTCCCCAGGTGGTCACGGTGCTTGGGTGTCAGGGGATTTTCTTTTCTAGCCCGAATTTGAGGATTTATGGGACAGGAGCCTTAGGGTATTCACAATGGCTATATCATTCATTCCTTTGCAGCCACTAACAATGTTTGCTTAGCACATTTGCAATGACTGCAATGGTTAAAAATGATCAAACAATTGCTACAAATCATGAAAAAACGAAGAGAAAACAAGATTCCAGACCCCAAGACCAGGAAAACAATGGAAAACAACTAAATAAATAATCATAAGCAACAACAACAACAACAACAAAATCCAGACCCCAGGCCACCAAGAGTTATTTGTAGTTCGTTTGATTCAAATTTTGTTTTTTTTTTGCTCTGTGTTTTTTGGTGTTCGTGCACTGCATGACTGCAACACGACAACTTCATGTTCATCTGCAAATTTGGCAGGAAAGTGTAACTAGTGTAGTGCTCCCTTCTTCTGACTGCTTCTGTGTTGTCCAGATGGCCACTGTATATGATTTCCTATCGTTGTCTGCTGCCATCGAAGCCACAGAGCATCTGACATTGAGAGAGTTGGCCCCACCTGCACCCTTGGCCAGTTGGAGTTGTTTCACCTCTCAAAGAGCTCCTTGCAAAAAGAAGCACTGTTCTTTCCTTATCTTTCTGACGCAACCCGTGTAAGACGTTTGTTTACCTCAAGGGATGTCTCTGGCTCGGCCATGACAGCATCCATGACGCTGACCCCCCACACTGTCAACATCGACAACCTCAAATCCATCCTTCGGGATAAGGCTTGGGATGGCCTCCCTGATGTCATGAAGCTGGCTGAGCGGCCCATGTTTGATTACGTCAGCCAGTACTTCCTCCTTCCTCAGACAAGTGGACAAGTCTGTTTTGTGAAGCACTTCTACATCAAGGATGACAAAATCAAGGGGCACTATGTCCACCGACTCCTCAAGGGCAGTGGGGCTATGAGATAGCTTGGGCGGGCCTCAACAAGCACAAAGCACGTCGAGGCTTGCAATACATGTTGGAGCAGATGGGAGGCCAACAATTCCGACACTTCTCCCTCAGCGCGGTGAAGAAGAAAATCATCACATCAAGGTGCAGGGTGGGACTTCATCATTGCACATGGCGAGTGTGACAAAGGCAACCTAAAACAACTTCGCTGTATTCATCGGCATACCCACCGTGATGGAAGCCCAATCAACGGTTGGAATGAGAAGCTGTTGCAAAGGGCGCTGGACTCTCTCGCCTGCAATCACGACGGCTGCCGTCGTTGCCCGCTATGATCTTACTTTGGATGCCTTGGAGCCAGATTCCTGGAAGTGATAGAACAGATTGTGGCCCACCTCTCCTCTTGGGCGCATTTTGGCGATGCTTTTCCCGCTACCACGGTGGCAGTGGAACCTTCCGAAGTGCCAGTGATTTCGACGCTTTTCGTGGAGATTTCTTAGCAAACTTGCCCTGCTCTTTACGATGATGGTGAGATAGGGGTGAAATCATCAAGAGAGCTTTCAGCGATGTGGCAGACCAGGAAACGATCCTCAAGGAGCGATGGACAGCTGCAAAGTTTGTCCAACATCAGCTGCGTATTGCTTCTGGACAACCAATATGATCCAGCTAGTGACCCAGCTGATGAAAACTCTGTCACTCACGCTGCTTTCATTGAAGTTGGTCGGCCACCTTTGGTTACATTTCTAGTGCTGATTCGTGTGCCATCTTCAAGCGTGTGGCCTATGTTTGTTTCCGGTCCAAGAACTTTGTGTACTACCGCCCACCAACCGAGAAGGAAGTGAAGGTTCTTCGCTTGAAATGGCCTCGTGGAGATCTGCTAAAAGGTTCCTGCAAACCCATTATTGCCAACTTCAAGGCAGGAGGCCCTGCCTGTGTGGACTCTGAAGAGAAGGCTGCTTGGGAGGTGGGAAGGAATCTTTTTGCAAGCATGATCATGTGCAATGTGCAGCCCAGCAGCCAGCACTGTCTGCAACTCCTAAGCTATGCTCGATTCCCTTCTTTCTGCTGATGGTCATCCAATTGCTGCTCCTGTGTGTGCGCATCCTGCAGCTCCTTTGCCTGGCGTTCCCAAACTTGAGCTTGATGAGTACAAGGACATTCCAAGAAGACTACAGTGAAGACTGTGGTATTGGATGGCTGCTTGAAGCTTAAACCGCAGTGCATGGATGCACCTGACAAAGGGCTGGCCGTCCTCGCCATTCTGATGAAACTGTTGGTAGCCCTTCCAACGGATGGTTCATGTGCTGTGATCCTGTCAGTGGTCGCATCTGGGGGTTGATTGTGATGCATGAGCCAGAACAAATGATCATGCCATTGAGATGATGGAGTCCGTGTTGCGGCTGTAGCTTGCTCTCTCAAACCATCTACAAAGGAAACACCGTCTCTCAACCAGATCCAGCACTACACTGTTGATGGTTTTTATGCCTATCGTCGCGACAAGAAATGTCCTTGCAATCCTCGTTCCTGGTCTTACAATGCTCTTGTTTCTTTAGTGTTTGCAACCATGCCTTCACATGCGTTAATAGAAACTTTGATCTAGGTCATCCATTATGTTTTTGTTTTTTGATATGTGCCTAATATCGACTGTAGGTTTCAAGAAACCGCTTGCAAAACTCATGGCGGAGATCAATGGCAACATGTGTGAGCAAGTCTTTAGTCGGTTTCGGCACGATGCACCCACAGGCAATGAAATAAAGGAGCTTCGTCACAAGTTCATGTTGTTCTACTACGTGAACAGTCATAAGGAAGCGCTTCTACATGGACAGGCCTCATACCTTCGCACAGCGTCATTCAGCCCCAGCAGAGGGTCCCGAAGGTCAAGTCCAAGGCATATCGGTGTTCTCCGAAAGGCATCATGAAGGGCAAGAAGGGCATGAAACACTTCACAGGCAAAGTCATGAAAATTGTCCTGAAGAAGTAAATGCGTTGACGACTTGGTGGTCTACATGCAGTTTTGATCGTGAGTGCTTGGATAGTTAGCTACTGAGTGAGGTAGATGTCAAGATGTATAGTGGCAAAGCAAACAGAAATTACAGAAATGTCAAATACCTAGTGATCCCCACCACGAATTGCTTGGCATGTATTGAAACATTATACCGGCATTCCTTCTAGCATATTTTGTGACATGTTTCTGACATTTTTCTTGCAAAGCTTTTGACATTCTTTCTGGCATCTCTTCCTACATTCTTTCATCTGACGTTCTTTCTGACGTTATTTCCGGCGTATCTTCTGACATTCTTTCTGGCATCTCTTCAGACATGCTTTTTGGCATACCTTCTGACAGTCTACCTGACATATCTTCTGACATTCTCGCTGGCCTATCTTTTGACATTATCTCTGGTATATTTTTGACATTCTTTCTGACATTCTATCTGGCATTTCTTTTGCATATCTTCTGACATTCCTTCCGGCGTTCTATCTGGCGTATCTGCAGACATTGTTTCTGGCGTATCTCTCTGGCATGTTTTGTTGACATCCTTTCTTGCATTCTATCTTTATCTTCTGGCATTCTTTCTGGCATATTTTTTGACATTATTTTTGGTGTTCTTTCTTGCATTACTTGTGACATTCTTTCTGACATTCTCTATTGCATATGTTTGACATTCATTCTGACATTCTATCTGGTATATCTTCCTACATTCATTCTGGCATTTCTTCTGACATTTATTCTGGCATATCTTCTGACATTTTGGTGGGGCATCTCTTGTGGCATTCTTTCTGGCATTATATGTGGGATATCTTTTGTCATTCTTGCTGACATTCTTCCTGGCATATAATCTGACAATCTCCCTGGCATATCTTCTGACATTCTTTTTGACATGTTTCTTTAATATTCTCTGACATTCTTTCCGGCGTATCTTTTGTCATTCTATCTGACATTTCTGCTGGCATTCTTTCTGGCATATCTTCCGACATTCTTTCCGGCATATCTTCTGCATATCTTCTGACATTCTTTCTGGCTTATCTTCTCACATTCTTTCTGGCCTATCTTCTGACATTCTCTCTGGCATGTCTTTTGACATTATTTCTGACAATCTTTCTGGCATATCTTCTGCATATCTTTTGTCATTCTATCTGGCATTTCTGCTGGCATTCTTTCTGACATATCTTCTGACATTCTGTCTGACATTCTTTCTGGCATATCTTTTGACATGTTTTTGACATTCTTTCTGGCTTTTCTTCTGACATTCTTTATGGCCTATCTTCTGACATTCTCTCTGGCATGTCTTTTGACATTCTTTCTGACATTCTATGTGGCATATCTTCTGCATACCTTCTGACATTCTTTCTGGCGTTCTATCTGGCATATCTGCTGACATTCTTTCTGGCATATCTTCTGACATTGCCACACGTACTATGACCTGGTCAATGCTTGGCAAGCTTTGTCTGGCAATGGCAAGTTCACCGCAAAGAATTGCGGGGAAGCGGTTTTGATTGCAATTCACTTTGCGGGCTACGACGCTTGAATCTTGGGTCCTCCATCTTCGCCTGTGATCTGATGCCTGCCTCTGGAGCATACCTTCCTTGGTGATGGGCTCCAAGGACGAATGGTTGGACGGCCTGAGACGGCTCGGAGTCAATGCGCCGTTGTGGGCGGGCACCATGGACAACAACGGGCTGGCGGTCCTCTATTTCACAGCAGCTTTGGCAGACTACTGCGAGAAGGAAGGCTTCACCGAGGTTGTCATGACCGCCACGGGAGTCTCCCCAAGGCAATGGCTCAGGGAAGGATGGCAATGGGGAGACAGAGTGGCGCAACCCCCCTTTCCATGCTTCATGAAAGCAATTGCTCGAAGTGCTCCCCCGCCTAGGCCCGTAGGCTTACAGAGATGTTCCGACGACGCTCGAGGACGCTGGGAGGCTGACAGTTTTAGGTTCCCTCCATACCAGTGCAGAGGTGAACACATGATGTGGCGCAACGGTAGATGGCGTACCATCGACTCCTCAGAGAGGGAGCTGCTCATGGGCTTCGGCTTCGAGCACACCTCTCTCTGCTGGGGGGCGACGGCAATAAAATCGGACCTTCAATCCTACGAGGACACTAGGAAGACTTTGGTGGGAGACAGTTTCTGGAAGGACCCAACAGCCGCGATGGGTTATTTTTCTTTGGACAGAATTGTGACTTAAGCGTAAGAATGTCCTGTGGCGCTTCAGCAGATCGAGGGTCTTCACCTCGGGTGCCCCGTAGGGGCACACATCAGCCTGGAGGAGGACGAGCGCGAACCCGCACCCGGGCAGGGTGGAGGGTGCAGGCGGACACCCGCACTGTCCAATCTGGACGGCAGCGGCGGACCAGAAGGCATCTTGTTTCAACACGTCCTGCAGCCGCAGAAAACCAGAAATGCTTTTGATGTGGTCTTTGGATCCCCCTCTTCTTTGATCTTGTAGATCGACTTGCGGAAAAGTAAGTCACATATCCTGTATTTCAATGTATTTCAGTGTTGATCAGCCTCAGTTCTTGCTGGTCCAGCATTCGTCCTGGTATTTCATGGCCTCCTCCGCGTCAGCCACATACAGCATCACTTTCGACAAGGGGATCCTGCCAGGTAGGGCGGAGTGGAGGCAGTGGAGTGTCGAACAGCCTTGGGATCAACTTGATCATTGATCAATGGGACGGTCATAACCATATATATATAACTTTATAACACCGTGCCACTTTTTTGACAGAACTGATTATAATTCGTTAGATATTTTATATAACTGAATATAGCTGTATAACACTGTGCCGCTATATATATATATATATAAAGACTGGTCAATGCTCCAAAGAAAACAAAGCTATCTCTGGGGGTCTCCCAATTCCACACAGCAAGATGTTGTGGAATCGATCCAAAATGCTATTAGCTAGGACTAGGACTTCCAAATGATGTCTAAATTCAATGTATACGTGGATTTGGGTACCCATTCCCTCCCACCCAGAAATAAAGCGATTCCCAGCACCTTCAGTCCGTGGCATGAATCGTGACCAAAAATCCTGGATCTCGAGTTAGGTCACTGTGAAGGTCCTGGCACCGCTCAATGAATTGGATGGTGAACTCCCCGATTGGGCTGACAGTCCCGACTCCCTCAAGAGGGGAGTCACCTTCACAGACTTCATCACCCAGCCCAGTGCCATTCTCCATTTCTGCTTAAGTTCTTTGAAGCTCAACTTGGACTCCAAGGGGGAGTCCCCCGAAAACATTCTCTGGAAGGGCATGGGTCTCTGGAAGTGCACGCAATCGATTAAGAAGAGATTGGCAGACCAAGGATTGCGAACGGAAACAAGCAGGTAGTGAAGTTGAGCCAGAGTTCCCACAACACGAGTGTTGCACCCCGCGTGTGGCAATCGCGCTCCACAGAGGCGTCCTTATCGAAAACTGCCTGCTATACAGGGTTCCACAGGAAACCAATGCACTCGCAAGCTCCAGGACAATGCGGCGGTCTGCTAAGGTAAACCGTCAACTTCGTCCCCAGCCTTCAACATGTGCACGTCCACCACTGCTGGCGGAAAAGTCAACTTGCCTGAGGCAAAATCAATCCCTCATCTCCTTCCAAGTATCAATGAGAGACACTTTGGGCTGCTGTCCTCAACGGCAGCCCTATGCCCTTCCACAAGGGCCCAGCGCATGCAAAATACAGAACAGGTGAACAGGTTCCACACTGTACCGGTCATTTTAGTCACGCGCCGGCACCGCAGAGAGAGAGAGAGAGAGAGTTTGTTCATGGATAGCCTTGTTGGAAGACTTGTACAGGTGGGTGTGGCGTATTTATGCCCACACATCCCTTATGAAATTGATACTACAAGGGCGGTATTGCGTGAGCCGATCTAAAACACCATCCTGTTTGGGCTCCACCAGTCGTACTTTTTGAGAAAGTGGGGCTGAGGGACCGATGTCCAAACCCTATAAAGGTCTTCAACTACCTCCTGAGAAGGTGGTTGGGGTGAGTTTGGGTGGGGGTGAAAGATGTGTAACTCAGGCCTCTCAAGATGACAGTCGCTGAATTGTTAAAATTAAACTCAGTACATGTGTGACCACTGACCAAAATCCTCTGGAGGGATCGGTCCGTCTGGAGGGGTCGGGGATCGAAGCAATCCTTGCTTAAGCAGCTGGAAAAAGAAAATACCACTTCACCAGAAGTTGATTTATAGGATTTATAGATTTACCCGTGGTTTTTTTTTAAAACACCTTTTTAAACAGAATTCCATACTATTTCCAAATCTCATCAAGGGGCTCGTCTGAAGGCCCTGCAAGGAGAGGCGCAGGACAGGAGGAGAGGAGGAGCAGGACAGGAAGAGAGGAGAGGCAGGAGCAGGAATGAGAAGAGGAGCAGGACAGAGGAGAGGAGAAGACAGGAGCACGCCGTCGAGCGACCGGTGACGCGGCAGGCTACTGTGCACAAGGCCCCCTGACTAGGGAAGCCAACGCACGTCCTGCCTGAAGCCTGTGAGGACGGCGGGAGGCGGCGCCACCCCCCACCGCGGGTCAGTTTTTGACAGTCCGGCGGGGAACACTGCCATCCGACTCTCGCGGTTGAGGAGGACGAGGAGGAGGAGGAGGACAGCGAGGCAGCTGACATAAAATCCAACAACCCTCAGCCTCACCTGACAGGTGGTGGAAAAGTGCACCCTCACAGCATCCTTCTCTCTTCATTTACTGGTCTTGGAAGGAAAGTTGATATAAGTTGATCCACATTCCTTGAGAGGTACCGCTGCTGGGGAGTTGTGCCAAATGGAACTTACTCGCCTCACTGTGGCAACCTCACCTGTAGCAGCCTGTTGTTGAGGGAGGCAAAGGCATCCAAACTGAAAAGGCAAGTAAGGAGAGGCATGGGGCAATGCCAGCCTTGTTGAAGCAAAAAACACACACGCAGATGGACACCCAAGAGCATTTTATATTCCGAGGAGTGAGGTGACTTGGAAGCAGTAACAACATATTAAGCTGTAAAACTTTGCCGGAGAGCTAAAAGTATTAAAGACACCCAAAAGATGCCCGAAAACAAAGACAACCCCAAAAAAACAGAAACAACTTGCACTGGTCTTGGGGGGAGGTGATGTTAGTGACTTCGCTGACGCACTCGGAATCTGCCAATCAGACTTTCTGATAGTGATCATTCTTTACCCAGAGGCTCGACAAAACGACCGTCATCCTCCAGCGGTCATCCTGTGTGGAGTGTTTTTAAACCACCAATACTATCCCAGGTCCTTGATGACCTTGAATTTGGTCGATGAGATTACCAAGACCAAAGGCAATCCCACTCGGGAGTGCCTGGGCCAAGGCGTGCGTTCCCATCCGAACATGTTGAACGCCACCGTTCGTTCGAACGGGCCGTGGCGTTCGAAACAAAGCCTCTGACTCACGTTCCATGGAGGTGGAGTCCTGGACCCTTCCTTGGATGACGATATGTTACGAATAGGGTGGTCCATGTTTGAGAGATGGCTGACCAGACTGATCTTGTTTGGTTGATTTGTGGGAAGGGACATGAGTTTATTTAAACGCAATAATATATACAAGCAGTTCCCGGGCAAGCCGGCGGCGGAAGTTTCCTATAAGAAGAAATTGACCTATAGGAGTGTCCACGTTCTCTCCAACATGCGCGTCCTCCAGTCAAACGCACGCGCTCCGGACTTTTGACCCACGGGATTCCACGTGTGTAAGGTGTGTGCCCCCTGCAGGATCAGCAGCTCACAACAGCGTACTGGGTTGTATCTTTGCCACGACAAGAGGGGTGTATGACGAGTGGTGTATGATGAGTGGTGTATTGACCAGCAGTTGAATGTCCTGTCCTGCATAAATGCAACCAAATACTATCAGTATGAACTGTGCCAAACCTGCACGCCGCGAGAGATGACTCAGCAGCGAGAGATGACTGAGTCGCGAGAGATGACTCAGCCGCGAGAGATGGCTATAGCGAGAGCTGACTCAGCAGCGAGAGATGAATGAGCAGCGAGAGATGACTCACAGCAGCGAGAGCTGACTCCTCCGCGTACTACACTTGTACTACAAAGTGGCCAGTTCTCAGTTTCCAGCTCCACAGGTTGTTCCGCGTGCTAAGGTTGTACTAGAAAGTCGCCAGTCAGTTCTCATCTTCCAGCTCCCCAGATGCTCCGCGTACTGCAGTTGTACTACACAGTCGCCAGTTCTCAGCTTCCAGCTCTACAGATTGCTCCGCGTACTAAAGTTGTACTAGAAAGTCGCCAGTTCTCAGCTTCCAGCTCTACAGATTGCTCCGCGTACTAAAGTTG